CACCAGCAGCCCCTCCAGCAGCACCCCCAGTCCTAGCAGCTCTAGTACCGCCAGTACGAGCACCTCCAGGACCAGTGGCTCCAGCACCTCCAGTGCCGACCCCAGGGTCAGCAGCAACACCACCTCCAATAGGTACAGCGCCCTCAGCTCCAGCTCCAGTAGCACCACGGAGGCGGGGACAGTATCGAGAGTACCACTCACGCAGCTGCTGGGAAGAGAGAGCGCCCCCAAGCGCAGTACCCCCAGGCTCAGGACCTCCACCCCCAGGGACAGCACCCCCAAGCTCAGCACCGCCAGACTCCGCACCCCCAGGCTCAGCACCCCCAGTCTCCACACCCCCAGGCTCAGCACCCCCGGTCTCAGTACCCCCAGACCCAGCACCACCAGGCTCAGCACGCTCAGGCTCAGCACGCTCAGTACCTCGCGGAGGACCAGAGTCGACAGCTACCTCGGCAGGCTCGACCGGGTCTACCTGGGAAACACCTGAGGGAGCAGGACCCTGGGGAGGCAGTGGGTCTACCAAAGCAGCACCTGGCGTGAGGAAGAGCGGCGGGGGGGGAAGCGGGGCAGTGCGGTAGGGGAAGAGACGGTAGAAGGGGACCGACTCGTGCGTCCTGAGAGGCGAAGACCCTGCGCGAGGTGGGGTGGTAAAACTACCAGCCAGGCGCGTAAGGGACAAAGCCAAGGAAGACACAGGGAGCAGCGCGGGCGGAGAGCTTGTCCGCGGACGTGTCGCGGACAAAGGCACGAGATCCCCAGACCCGGAACACAGACGCATCGCCAACCTCTCCCGTCCAACGCAGCGTCGGCTCGGGGGGCGCGGCTCGGGCGGCGCGACTCGGGCGGCGCGGCTCGGGCACGTAGGGCAGCGCGGCGGTGGGCCTAGCACGGTGGGCGGCAGCGCCTAAGCTGCAGCTGTGCACAGGCCGCGGCTGGGTTCGTGCTGCAGCGAAACGCGAGCAACAGCAGCCTACTCACGATCGTAACTGTGGGCGGGCTGGGACCTGCGGGCGGGCAGCGGTGGGTCGTGCGCCGTCCTAGGGGCGAGCGGTCGGGCTCGGGCTGCAGTCGCGCGCGGGCGGCGGCCTACGAAAGCAGGGGCGGCGACCTACGGGCGGGCGACGCGACTGCCTACAGGCAGGGCTGCGTCGCGCTGGAAAGCCAGTCGGGTGGGTCGACGGGCGGCTAGCGGCCTGCTCCTGGGTGGTGCTAGCCGCGCGGGCGGCCTACGGTCGTCGCGCGCGCGATTCGGGCCGCCCGCGGGCTGTTCGCTCTAGGAAAAAGGGGCCGCGCGCGGGCGGCTAGCTAGCTGCGCACGGGCAGCGTGAGAGGACGAGGCGCACGAGGGCGCGATAGTAAGGAGGCGCATGAGGGCGGTGAGAGGGCGCTCTAGGGCGCCAGTAGTGAAATGAAATGGTGCCATCGGTCCGTGAAATGTCGGTGTCGCCACTGCTGCTGGAGTTGTCGCTGCTACGTTTGCTGCTGCTGCGGTGGAGGCTCCTTGTTGGTGTGTCAGAAGGGCCTCGAGTCGTCGGATCGCCGCCTGCGTCTGCTCCATGTCGGTGCGGAGGCTTGCGATGTCGCTCGTGGTCGCGTAGTTGTCGCCTTGGCCCTCCATGCCTGACATTCCGCGTTCGAAAAACCGAAACGAGGGGGAGCGAAAAACACGGAACCGGTTTTACGTACCCGAAATCGGTGTTTAACAGGCGTCGCCCCCGCGGTTTTTGAAGACTCGGTTTTTAGCGGTCGAAAAACTTTCGCGTGTAAACGGCTCTGATACCAAGTGTGAGGATCTAGGATCGAGCTCAGAAAAGAGAATGTGGATTGAATGATCACCTGGGTACAACACGAGGCTATATATAGGCTCGACACAAGGCCCCGTAACCAGGTGTTACGCGAAGGTTCTGAGGGTCGCGAAGCATCCCGAACAGAGCCTTCCCGAATTCGGTAGAAGGCAATTCTGTGGCAACCGAAAAGCCAGAATTCGGTGCACGCAACCTAGCTCGGTGCTATAACTATAATAAAATAAAGGAAAGCACCTAGCCTAGGAAATCAAGCAATTCATGCATGCATAAAAGAAACCTAAGCTAGAAATAGCATAATAAAGTAAAGGCAAGCAAGCATAGCTGGCATAAGCCGTCGTACTCTCACACGCTGTCTCCTCTGTCTCCGCCCTTACTGCCGCAGTCACTGAGTTTGCCTCCACTCGCCGCCTTGACTACGCCACCGGTCTTGTGGCTGCTCCTCCTACCAGTCCTCTGGCCGTCGGGGGTGAGTCTGCCCTTGGCTGTGACGCCCTAGAGGACAGGCAGTTTGAGCTAGAGTTCCTGGCAGCCGCTTCCCCACATCTTTGTGCCATGTTGCTCGTCCCTGAGGGAGACCCCGACACCCTTGACATACCGACTCCTCGCACTTACGCTGAGGCAGTGTCAGGGCCTTGGGCCTCCCACTGGAGAGCTGCCATGGACGAAGAGATGGCCTCCTACAGATCCACAGGCACCTACGTCGATGAGGTTCCCCCTCCTGGGGCGAACGTAGTCGATGGCATGTGGATCTACAGGGTGAAGCGGCCACCGGGATCTCCTTCGGTCTTCAAGGCGCGCTACGTGGCTAGAGGTTTAAGTCAGCGCGAGGGAGTTGACTTCTTTCAGACCTTTGCGCCTGCCCCGAAGATGACCACTCTTCGGGTGTTACTGCACATAGCAGCACAGAGAGACTACGAGTTACACTCTCTCGACTTCTCCACTGCTTTCCTTCAGGGTAGCTTACACGAGGAGGTCTGGCTGCATCGTCCCTCTGCCTTCACTGACACTTTCCCTCCTGGGACCCAATGGAGGCTGAGGCGACCTGTCTACGGTCTTCGTCAGGCTCCTCGTGAGAGGCACGACACTCTTCGTTCTACCCTCTCTGACCTTGGGTTCCAGCCATCTTCTGCCGACCCGTCGCTGTTCGTTCGTCGTGGCTCCACACCGTTCTTTGTTCTGGTCTACGTCGACGACCTGGTTTTTGCCACTGCTGACTGGGTTGCCTTGGCAGACGTGAAGTCCGAACTGCAGAAGAGACTCACGTGCACTGACCTTGGTGAGCTGCGCCACTACCTTGGCCTGCAGATCACCAGGGACAGAGATGCTCGCACCATTACACTCTCACAGTCACACATGGTGCAGCAGGTCCTTCAGCGGTTCGAGCTTCAGCACTCCACAGTACAGCGCACACCTCTTGTTGTTGACCACAGACTTACTGGACCCTTTCTGTCAGAATGTTATAATTGTCTAGTCTGCAGTGGGGTACTCTATAGTGAGTACAACCTTGTTAGGGTTTGCTATATGTAGTGCCCTGCTTACTAGTGCAACCCTCCTTCCTGTTCTATCTTTCTGCCTTCTATTTCTGACACTTTCCTGACGAGCCGTTTGAGTCTAGTGGTCCCTACGCAGAGCTGGTGGGCTGCCTCATGTACCTGATGACTTGCACTCGCCCGGACCTCGCCTTTCCTCTCAGCATCCTTGCTTGCTTTGTTGCGCCAGGGAGACACCGTCCTGTTCACTGGACGGCAGCTGTGAGGGTGGCGAAGTACCTAGCGACGACATCAGGTGTGGGTCTAGTTCTTGGAGGGCAGCAGCCTGTCATACTTACTGGTCACTGTGACTCTTCTTACGCTGACGACGCTGAGACTCATAGGTCTAGTCAGGGGTACTGTTTCAGCTTGAGTTCTGGAGCTGTTTCGTGGCGGTCCACGCGCTCCTCTTTGGTCTCGACCTCTACAACTGAGGCTGAGATCTACGCTAGTGCCATGGCGGCACAGGAGCTGTGTTGGTTGACCTTCTTGCTCGCCGACCTTGGTGAGCGGCCGAGCTCTGCACCGACCTTGTTCACTGACAACAAGGCGTCGATTCTCCTTTGTCGAGAGCCGCGACTGGAGAGCAGAGTGAAGCACATTAACGTCAGGTACTTTCTTCTGCGAGAGTTGCAGAGACGTGGACATGCTCGCTTCGAGTTTGTGGAGTCCGAGGCCAACACTGCAGACATCTTCACCAAGGCGTTTCCGCCTTGTGACCACCAGAGGTGTTGTGTGCAGTTAGGCCTTGATGACACAGTTTCTAGTCGTGTATAGGCTTGAGTCTACTGTTTGCTTTGCTTGTACTCTTACTATACACACTTGTGAACTCTCGAACTGGCCTTGTGGCCCCTGTTGCTTGTGCTCAGAGTGTGTGGTGACGTTGTGATCCACCTTGAGTTTGTTTCTTTGTGACTGGTCCTGTGACCGTACACTTTTGGTTTTGCTTGACACCCCTCACTTAGGCTATGGGGGTGTGTCAAATGTTGTAGCCTGTAGTGAGGTTTGTCTTAGGGGGTACAGATGTTAGGGTTTGTTATATGTACCCCAACCCACATCAATGAACCAACACTTTCATTCTTGACAAGGAGGGAGCGGAGGAAGCAAGTGCGGGAGATCTGACACAAGATCGGGCCTAGACATCTGATGGAGACGCGGGAGCGAAGGGTGACCAAGACGGTTGTGCCACAGGAGCGACATATGGGTGAGTGACCGACATACGCACGATGCACTAACATGACTAGACGCATTTACCGGGAGGGACGCAGTGTGCAGTGTGGAGCGATCTGATGAAGACTCGCAAACCTCTCGTGTGCTGGAAAGGTGATTGTAACCCTGTGGACCTGAAGGTGTCCAACACCCACCAAGTTTCTGGCGAGGGAACCAGAGGGGATTGTGAAGCTGTACTTGTCACGCCACCAACAAATGTTTTCCAAGTCTTGAATTTCAAGAACCCATCCCTCCTTTGTTGATTGAAGTTATGTGTAAACAAATTATACGTTTTGGAAAGAATATAACCATCTTTGTATGGCCAAAAATATGCCCAAAATTGAGAGTGAACTAAATACACATATGGCTTTGAAAAGTAATGTACAAGCACCACACACCACCACTTCTGTACAGAAACCACCTCGCCCCCGCCCCCACTTCGTCAATCCATTCTTCCCTAGAGCTGCGGCCCCGCAGCGAGAATATCCGCCGCAAGCTTGCCGTCACTTCCGTTGCCGTCATACTCGGCGAACTTCTTAAAGTTATCCTGGAACAGCCGCGCCAGCTTCACCAGAGTCGCCTCGTACGCCGCCTTGTCCTCCCACTGCGCCAGATAGTACGCGCGAAAACATACACGGCAAGGAGGTTAAGAGCGAGCACGGGGGAAACCACAGGATACGGGTGAGGGGATCGAGAGCATCGAGAACCACTGCACAGCGCAGAGAAATGTGGGCCTATGGAAGAAACCCAGCTACAGCACGTCTGCGGGGCCAGGAACACCATTTTGCAAGATCCTATCAATGGAGGCAACGAGAAGGGTTACTACTCTCGCAGTGCGGCGCGCACGCACCATGTTCTGCGGCATGAGAATCTCCGACGGCACGTCGTTGACGGCATTCGGGACCTGCAGGCCGAAGATGGGCGTCGCGCTGTACGTCGCGTCGAGCAGCGAGCCGTCGTGAATGGCGTTCACGATGGCGCGCGTGTGCTTCAGCTTCATGCGCTGCCCCACGCCGTAGCTTCCGCCCGACCACCCCGTGTTCACCAGCCACGCCGTCGCGCCGTGCCGCTGCATGCGCTCCGCGAGCATCGCGGCGTACTTGGTGGGGTGCCACATGATGAACGCTGCGCCGAAGCACGCGGAGAAGGTTGCGCGCGGCTCCTTCACGCCGTCCTCCGTGCCCGCCACCTGCACGCGCGAGTTGCAGACACAGCGAGAGGAAGTGCGGGAGGCAGATGAGACGGACGGTCAGGGAACTGCGGTGCAGACTTGTGAAGAGAAGATATGTCAGAAGCTGGCGAGCCATGGGGCAGAGAGGTGTGTCTGGTCGCTACGAGGCAACGAAACCCTAACTCTGCAATGAGAAGACGGATCGAAGTGAACAAAGTGATTACTAACCAGCGCGGTGTAGCCGCTGATGAAGTGGTACATGGTCTGCGGCAGGGAGAGGCGGCTGACGGGTGGCAGCACGCCGAACGCATCACATGCGAGCAGGATGACGTTCTTGGGGTGCGGACCGACGCAGGGGATGCGCGCGTTGGGGATGAACTCGATGGGGTAAGACGCGCGCGTGTTCTCCGTGACCGACTTGTCGTCGTAGTCCACCTCGCGTGTGTGCTCGTCAAACACCACGTTCTCCAACACTGTACCAGAGGACAGGATAGATGAGCACAGGAGGGAGCGCGTGGAGCGGTGGTGAGATATGGGAGCAAGGTGACATGTTGGGGTTGGATCAAGAGGCGACGAGGAGACTGGGCAGGGGAAGCAGGGATTCCTTAAAAGGCGAGGGAAGCAACACACAAAATTGATGGAAAATGGTGCGCTAAGCACCAAAGCCGAACCCGGCCACCGTACCTGTGCCGAACTTGATGGCGTTGAAGATCTCCGGCTCGTTCTCCGCCGACAGCCCGATGCACTTGGCGTAGCACCCGCCCTCGATATTCGACACGCCGTTGTCCGTCCAGCAGTGCTCATCATCCCCGATCAGATCCCGGTTCTCGTCCGTCGACAGCGTCGTCTTGCCCGTGCCCGACAGCCCAAAGAAGAGCGCCACATCCCCCGCCTTGCCCATGTTGCAGCCAGAGTGCAGCGAGAGCACGCCACGCTTGGGCATGAGGTAGTGCATGACGGAGAAGAGCCCTTTCTTCATCTCGCCCGCGTACTGCGTGCCCAGGATGACCATCTCCTTGCGCTGCAGGTTCAGGTCGATGCTCGTGGACGACGTCATGTAGTGCGTGAAGCGGTTGCACGGGAACTGCCCCGCGTTGTAGATGGTGAAATCCGGCTTGCCGAAGCTCTCCAGCTCCTCTGCTGTCGGCCGAATGCACCTGCGAGTGGGGCGGGGGAACGAGGCACGGAGGAGGAGGCAGGTGAGGAAACGACAGCGGGATGCGTGGAGCACTGTGACTAGAAGCACATTCCAGGAGGGTGTGGAAATGAGAGAAAGGGTGGCAGAAACACATTCCAGAAGGGTTTATGTTTATGCCCAGCTTGAGAAGGTGGGCTGAAGGTTAAGGCCCCACAGACGCGGTGTGTGCACTGCATAGTGGCAGCGAGCGACTCACATGTTGTGCATGAAGAGTGCGTGGTAGGCGCGTGCAGAGACGATGCGCACTTTGAGCCGGTGCTCCGTGTCCCAGTTGAGAAACTGGTCGTTCACAAACACCTGCACCACACACGCACATCCGAAACCAAGCCACACATGGCACACAAAAACAACAAATCAGATTCCTCCAGAGTCTAGATCCGTTCAGCTCGCCCCAGTGACCACTACTGTACTAACAACTGCAGATTCCAAGCAGCGTTTGTGGAGCAAGATTGGAAAGCGTACCTTGTCGAGCGAGTTGAGGTAGTCCACAGCTCTCTCGCGGTTCACCAGAAAAGTCTCCTCGTCCATCTCGATGTTGGGCGACCCCCTGCAAAGCCAAACCACGTGAACCAGCTCGTCAGGAGAAGCATCTCAAAAGAAAACGCAGTAGCTGCAGCAGGATTACTGGCGATGGTGGTACGGTACCACTGAGCACTTACTCGCCCCACCACAGGTCGTCGCTGGACGTTTCCTCCTTGACGACGCGCTTGTCCTTGGGCGATCGCCCCGTCTTGGCTCCCGAGAGCGTCGCCAAGGCGCCGGACGACGTGATGAACGACCCCTTCTCGTACTTGATCGCCTGCTCGTAGAGTTCTGAAGGACACAAGCGACACAGAAACACGGGAAATCAGCCAGGAGGACGAGCAGCTCCACACGAAACAAAACTTTTTGAATGTCATGTTACGTAATCGCTTGCAGAAAAACCATTCATCCCAGTCCCGAGTCCCGCGTGTTTCGGGACGCGCACTGACCAGCAGGCGACAGGTTGTAGAGCACGTGCGTGAGCTTGAGCGAGCTGTCGCTGACGCACGGCTGCGACGGAGCGACCGCCCTGTGGCCCTGCGACGCCGGCTTGCACTTGCTCGTCACAATCTTGGGCCCGTGCTCCCGCACGTGAGATGCCAGAGACGCACTGCCACCAAGAAATACGGCGGGAAATTCATGATAAGACTACCTTTTCTAGTACACGTCGTTCCTTCCACACACGTATGTTAAGAGTGTCAACCAAATGGAGGCGTTGCGCGGTCGCTCACCTGATAGACTCGAGCTGCTGCTGGAATTTCTCGCCGTTCTGATCGCCGCCCGTGGAGCCCCTTGGCGTGGTCGGGTTGGACTTCTTCTTCTGCAGCCGGTGAAGCTCGTCCATGGTGGATGCCTTGATCGGCGGTGTCGTGTCGTTCTCGCACACCTTCCTCCCGCGCACGTCGAGGAGCGTCAACCCGTTGGCCGTGGGAGCAGCAGTTGTCGACATGTCCAACTCGAATGTGGTGACGAGAGAGTACAACTGGTAAGGTTACTAATACTACTACTTTGAAAGGAGATTCAAGCACTCCCTCGTCAGGTGACCAGCGATGAATATGAACGGCGACGAAAACAAGAATCAGCACGTGGGATCCCCAATGCCAGCAACCGGAAAACAAGCGCTTCTTATTCTTGAACGAGCGCCGAACGAATCTAACGCCGACGGGTTTGGGGTGGTGACTGGGCTAACCATGTCAGGTGGGGCAAACTGTGAGTGTGCCGAGTTGACGGGGAGAGAAGCAGCGAGGTTGGTGCGAGCAGAGAGATGGATGGAGTGGAAGAGAATGCGAACATGCGCGCACGCAAGACGAGCGTGAGGTGGGGCGAGGCGCGCCATTTATCCGCCAATGGGAGGCTTGGCTGCCGCTTGGGCGTTTGTCATCAGATGGTGTGCGCGATGCGGATACAGCTCCCATGGGGCAGTGCGAGGCGACAAGTCTGCGTCACGCCAGGTCAGTGGGCCAAGAAAATGACCCAGCTGGGTTATTCCGACGTGTACATCACTGGACCACAGTAAGTCAACTCTGGGCCACGAAAGGTTGTAAGCCAATCACTGAAAGCGGGACCACCAAAGTCCAACAAACACACCAACCGTCTTCGGACCAAATGTATATATACACCAACAAGCTCTACTCGCTAAACAAACATTTTCTTGTAGATGCAGAAAATGTGAATATAACATTACCCACCAGTATTCTGGCACCATGTGTAATCAAAATGAACATATGTCCTAACGTGTTGGAACGGCCAGATTCAGTGGTGGAGACTATGCAGCGCAGCAGAGTGCCAAAGTTTTACACGTGAGCAAAAATTCAGCCACTAAACAAAGCCAAACAAGACAAAAACACATCCATGCAGTAACCTGAGAGACAAGTACCTAGGGTCAACATTACGCCATAGACGCCATGGAATATGAACCCTCCAGCATTTCACCACGCCGGATATGCCTCCATAGCCTAAGGACAGCTAAACAGGCACCAGACCAGAAGCCGCCCTGGTTCTCATTTCACGTTTTGCTTTACAGAGCTCCCATGTGTCCATCGTCCCAATCCATGAAACATGTCCCCAATCTCCAACCTCCATCCATCCCTGGCCAGGCCACCCTCACACGAAGCGGTGAAACAGTGCCTCCGCCAGCTCCTGCTTGCCCGACCCCACCTCCGGCTCCTTGCCCCCATCCGCCATCACCGCCGCCTCCAGCTCCTCAAATCCCACCTCACCCTTCTCAATCCGCGCACCAATCCCCTCCTTCCAGCTGGCATACCGCCCCCGCACCAGCTTGTCCAGGTCCCCAGCCTCGATAATAGCGGCCGCGCTGCGCAGCCCTCGTGCGAGCGCGTCCATACCCGCGATGTGCGCGATGAACAAGTCCTCCACGTCCGTGCTCTCCCTCCGCAACTTCGCGTCGAAGTTAATTCCCCCCGGCGCCAGGCCGCCGTTGCGCACGACGGCCAGCATCACGCGCGTCGCGGCAGCGGGGTCGGTTAGGAACTCATCCGTGTCCCACCCGGTCTGCGCGTCGCCCGTGTTCGCGTCCACGCCGCCCAGCACGCCCGCGATGCGCGCCGTCTCCAGCTCGTGCTCACAGCTGTGCCCCGCCAGCGTCGCGTGGTTGCACTCCAGGTTCAGCTTGAACGGCTGTAGCGTGCCTGTAGCAGCGTCGAGCCGCGTGAGGTTGTAGCGCACAAGAAACCCCAGCGTGGTGGCGGCGTCCCAGTCGTATTGGTGCTTAGTCGGCTCCTGCGGCTTGGGCTCCATCAACAGCGTGCCTTTGAACCCTAATTTCTCTCTCCAATCCGCAGCCATGGCGAGGAATTTTGCCAGATGGTCCAATTCGAGCCCCATGTCCGTGTTAACCAAGCTCGAGTACCCCTCGCGTCCGCCCCAAAACACGTAGTTCTCGCCGCCCAGGCGGTGCGTCACCTCCATCGCCTTTTTCACCTGCGCCGCGGCGAATGCATAGACGCTCGCGACGGGGCTGGTCGCCGCGCCGTGGCGGTACCGCGGGTGCTTGAACAGCTGCGCCGTCCCCCACAGCGGGCGGATGCCCGTCTGCGCCTGCAGCTCCGCCGCCAGCGCAACCACCTCGTCGAGATTTGCGTTGGATTCCGCGAGCGTTGCGCCCTCCGGAGCGATGTCGCGGTCGTGGAAGCACCAGAACTGCGCGCCGAGCTTCGACATGAATTCGAACGCCGCGCGCATGCGGCGCTTGGCCATGGCGAGAGAGTTGGTGCCGTCCTCCCACGGCCAGTGCTTCGTGGGGGAGCCGAACGGGTCCGATCCGTCGCCGCGGAACGTGTGCCAGAACGCCACGGCAAATCGCAGCCATTCCTTCATCGGACGGCCGAGAATGACCTCATCCGCGTTGTAGTAGCGAAAGGCGAAGGTGTTACGGGAGGATGGGCCTTCGTAGACTATCTTGGGGATTGCGGGGAAGAACTCGCCCTGCCATTCCTTGGCTTCCGCGGATTCAGGATTCCAGCCGCACGTCTCGGCGGCGTGGACGAGCGACGGGATGAGCACGCAGGCGAAGATCCCGAGGTAAAAGAGCGCGTGGCTCGCGCGGGGAGAAACCAGAGAGGCAGCCATGGTTGAGAAAGAAATGCAAAGCAGAATGTGAGGGGCGAGATTTGATGAGGTAGTGATGCAGTGGTGGCTGCCTTGTTGCTGGATCTGCTCTGCTGTGTGCCTGCATGCATTCTTCTGCTCATGGGGTCAGACTAGTTGACGGATTCAGCGAGGAATTTCCGGGTGGTTCTGTATGCATGGGCCTACGATGTATTCCAGTGGCGTGATACAAAGTTGCGGGACCGCCACCAAGTGTTCTACTTAAGAGTACTTACTTGGAACCGACCTGATCCCTCGGAGTGATTCATCGACATGACCACAGAACGTAACCTCCCCTCGTGTTTGGGGTTTTTCTAAACATTTTGATTCTCCTGATATCCGGGCAACAGCCCTCTTTTCTCAGCCCCTATGGACTCGAAGCCTATCCACTTCCCCTCGACAATTTCCACCTGGCAGAATCAACCACGTTCGCCAGCGAAAGGGGAGGAAAGTATTCGCCAAACTTTGTGACGGCACACGAGGAGACCATCAGAAGTTACCAATTCGTCAGTCCATCGACGAAACCAACTCTGTCCAGTTACGTCACCCCGTGCGTCCCTTGCCCAATTCAGCAGCACTTGCCATTGCCACCACCACGCACTCTCCTCCCCACATTCCAACAAAATTAATTTCTTCTTTGCTGGCCAATTTTGTAACACTTATCGCCATTTCCTCCGCAGGCAGTCGAGCTCTGAATCTCGTTCCCTTCCCACGATGCTCGTCTCGCTCTGCGCTGTGTCGCACTCGCCTCTCCCCTGCACGCTTGGACTCTCTCGGGCCTCCCAGCGCACCCCTCTCGCACATTCCCATTTCTCTACCTCACAGGCCCTCCATCTCCGCCGTTCCTCCGCACCCTTGCATCCGCGCAAGTCACTATCGCATTTGCCTCTTCGCAGACACTCTCCCGCCATGCAAGTCGTACAGTCGCAGCAGGGCGACGCGACGGTCGTCGTCAGGCCGTCGCTGCCGTCGCTGCAGGAGTTCCTAATGGAGTCCATTGCGACGGCCGGCGACGACGGCAGCGGGAAGGGCGCGAGCGAGGGAGGCGTCGACAGCGATCTGGTGCTGCTGCTTTTGACGCTGCACGACGCGATGAAGCGCATCGCGGTCACCGTGAGCCGCCTCAACATCGAAACCGCCATGGGAGCGAGGCTGAGCGGCGTCAGCGGCAGCAAGAACGAGTCGGGCGACGCGCAGAAACCGCTCGACATTGTGTCGGTAAGGGCTGGGTTCCTTCGACGCAGGGGTGGTCGAGAGCGGTATGAAGCGGTAAGGGCGCTGGCGTGAGGATCGCGAAACGTTGAGTGACCGTGATTATGATGAGTGCTATGAGATCGTGGCATGCCGTACGCCGGTTTCTCTAGTCGCTCGCGACGAATAAGTCGATTCCTCTAGCACGCCGGCTCCTCTAGCCGCGATGCTGGAGAAAGATCCCGCACCGCACCCCTCAAAGCCTCTTCCTCCCGGCCCTAATACTCACCAACATTACTCGTTGACACCATCTGCTTTCTTCCCAACCTTTCGTCCCCCCTCTTCCCCGTCCCTGTTCCCTCCGTCCCCCGTCCCGAAGAAACTCTCCCACCACTCCACGCACCCACTCTCCCATTCCCAATCCCACCCCTTCCCCACTCCACGCCCAACTCGTCCCCAGAATGACATCATCAAGGCGACGCTGGCAGCATCGCGGCTGGTGTCAGTAGCGGCATCAGAGGAGGACAACGACGTGGTGGAGCTGACTCCTGGCGCGCCGTACGCAGCCGTGTTCGACCCACTGGACGGCAGCAGGAACATCGACGCTGGCATCCCCACCGGCACCATCTGGGGCCTCTACCGCTCCCCGCCTGCTGCCGCTGCTGCTGCTGCTGCTGCTGCTGCTGCTGCTGCTGCTGCTGCTGCTGCTGCTGCTGCTGCTGACGCTTCTGCTGCTTCCTCTGCGGCTGCTGCGGTGCTGCAGCCGGGGCGCGCGCTGGTGGCGAGTGGGTATGTGCTGTACTCGTCTGCGGTGGTGGCGGTGCTGACGGTGGGGCAAGGCACGCACGCGTTCACGCTGGATGAGAGCACGGGCGAGTGGCTGCTCACTGCCCGTGACATGCGCATTCCCACCCGAGGTAAGCTGTGGAGTGTGTGGATGTGGGCGTGGGTGTGGGTGTGGGTGTGGGTGTGTGTGTGTTAGGGGAGGGGGGGGAAGGGATGGGGAGGGACGGAGGGAGATAAGGCGAGAGGGAGGGACGGAAGAGGGAGGGAAGGAGGGAGGGTGGAAGGAGAAGAAGTGAGTGAATGACGGAGGAAGGGGAGGAAGTGAGTGAGTGAGGGATGGAGGGAGGGAGGGAGGGAGAAGGAGGGAAGGAGGAAGTAGGCGGGGCATGTTTATGTGTCAGAAAAGGTGGGGATGGGGACATTGCAGCACGCATGGTATGAGCACTTGGACTTGCAGCGCTCCCGCTCACTCCAGGGCTGACTGTGGGTGGTGCTGAGGAAGGGAATATGGGGCGTTGTGCAGCGGAGCGAAAGAGGATGAGCTGGATGTAAGCACACTCATGCAGGTCCATGCACACCTGTGCACGCCTATGCACACCTATGCACACCTATGCACGCACACCTATGCACACCTATGCACACCTATGCACACCTATGCACACCTATGCACGCCTATACACACCTATGCACGCCTATGCACACCTATGCACAACTATGCACACTTACGCACACATACCATCATGCTTAACAAGCTATGCTGGTGTGAGTGATTTTCGCGATGTTCTGCTGTCATGTCTGGTTGTGAATCTCGTCCTAACATACTGCCACCACAACTTCCCCGATGAGCTGTTGATGCTGCTCTGGGCTTTCGCCACACACTCTTGCTTCCCCTCCCTTGTGTTTGCCCACCCACTCCTCCGTGTGCTCTACCATTTGTAAACAGTCAGTCTTAACAAACCTCACACAGAGACATCACACATGCACCAATCCCCTGCCATACCTCCCCTTCACCCCTCACCCCTCCACCCCCCTCCTCCGCCCCTTTTCCCCACCCGCCACCCCCTGTTGCCCCTCCCACAGGCCAAATCTACTCGGTGAACGACGCGCGCTACTTTGACTGGCCGGCCGGCCTGCGGCGCTACATCGACGCCATCCGGCAGGGCAAGGGGCAGTCGGGCAAGAAGTACTCAGCGCGCTACATCTGTTCCCTCGTAGGCGACTTCCACCGCACACTCCTCTATGGCGGCGTTGCCATGAACCCCCGCTCGCACCTGCGCCTGCTGTACGAAGCCAACCCGCTCGCTTTCCTCGCGGAGCAGGCCGGGGGGAAGGGCAGCGACGGAGTGAGGAGGATTCTGGATATCGAGCCGTCAGGGAAGCTGCACGAGCGGTTGCCGCTGTTCCTGGGCAGTCCCGAGGATATTGATGAGCTGGTGGGGTATGGGGACGTGCAGCAGGTGGTTAACCCGGGGTACGAGGTTTGAGCTTCTGAGGTGTATTTAAAGCCTGACTCGATTTAGGTATGTTGTTGGGTGTTTCTCAAGTTTTGGTGGGGTGTGTGTGGGGATGAGCAGCGGGTGATGGTGAACCCAAGGTGCTGGTGCTGAGCGTTGAAAAGCTTAAGTGCACAGCACACTCTTTTCGTGGCATGTGCGGGTGGTTGTAGGAAGGAAGGGCACGGTGATGTGGGTTTGGCTGGACACAGGGCTGGCGTGGCGGAGGTTGTAGGGTGGGAGTGGAAAGAGAGCAGCATGGATGGCAGTCAGGCTCATCGCATCCCATGCTGGAGTGCCATGCCATGATAGGTGGGTGGGTGGCACCGATAAGGAGTAGCTGAGGAATGTGCTTGTACGTGACTGGTGTGGTGTGGTGGGCATTCACATCACATCACACCAGCCCAGGTGCAAGAGTTTGTGGCTTGCCAGATACTAATAAGCCGTGTCAACGTTCCTGACGGATGGGTCATGCCGTGCAGCCCTTTCTTGTGCCTTCAACAATTCAGACACCGCAACTGTGCTAAAGGAGCAGGGGGTGGGTGGGAAGGAGCTTTTTTTGTTCAGGGACAAATCTCCCAGACATGTATCGAGGACGTTGCTACGGAAGTTAAATCATTTGTGGCAAAGAATCCACATGCAAGTCCTGTATTGAGGCAGCGTGGGTGGCTGAGGCTCATTAGCTGTTCTTAGTTTCCGCATTTATATGCCACAGTGTTGTTTAGATAGTTTCGGATTTTGACCTTTGTACGATCTCCCACAAACGTGAGTGAGAGCAGCGAGAATCAGGGCTTTGTAGGCCCCACAATGACTTGTACTTGTGGGCTCGTCCTGGCTCCGCCAGCACACGCTTACTCTCCCTGAGCTCTGCTGCAGGTATCGCAGGCCCACAGCGCGCCGATAGGCGCATCAGCGCGGCGATTAAGCGGACACAGCAACGCGATTGAATACAGAGTGCCACGCACCCCCGTACCCCCGTCTGCCTCGTCAAAGATTGAGTTTCACCCGCGTCGTTCGTCCTCGAACGCCCACGTGGCAGCCACGCGGCAACGTGTATGCGCTGCGTGTCTCTTGTAGTAAGATAAATACCTCGCGCCTCTTTGCCACACGCTAGCAGACACCGCGCTGCGCTGCGAATGCGAGTGCTCTCGAAGGTTTGACAGCTGGGGGGGTTTCACAGTGAGAGGGGGGCGGGGAGGATTTCACAACCGAGGCATGGAGGAGAGAGAGGCAGACGGCGCGTCGGTTTCCAGGTTGGATGTGGGGCGCGACGGCGGGGATGGCGGAGCGGTGGGGAGAGGTGCGGAAGGGAGAAGCGCGGAGGATGGTGGGTCCGCGCGAGGTGCCGTGGTTGCGGATGATGGCGTCGCCGCCGCCGCCGCCGACGACGACGATGACGACGACGACGAGATTCCGGACGCCGTGCCGCTCCCCGGGTTTGACGCGGACGTGACGGGGAGCAGAGAAGCGGATGCGGAGGGGGAGGCGGAGAAAGGGGGCGCTGCCGCGGGGCTGGACGACGCAAGGCGACGAGAGGGGGAAGGGGAAGGAGAACCGAGGGTGGCATCGCAGGCTGGCGGCGGGGAGGATCCCGCGGGGAGCAGCGCGCGCGAGGCGGTGCCGATTACGATCATCACGGGGTTCCTAGGAGCCGGCAAGACCACCGTAAGGCCCCGCGCCCTCCCGTGCCTTCTGTGCCCTCTCCGCGCCCTTTCCGCGCCCTCTCCGCGCCCTCTCCGCGCCCTCTCCGCGCCCTCTCCGATTCCCCCCCTTCCACTCCTCCATTCCCCTCCCCCGCTCACTCCCCACACCCACTCCCCCCGCCCACTTCCTGTTCTTTCCCACACTCCTCTCGGTCCCCCTTCCTGCTTGTATGAATACATCCATCTATGACTCAATCGTGTGGGTTCTTATCACCCTCACGGCCTCATCCGTTCCTCCTCCTCTTATTCGTCTCGAACCGTGTCTTCTGTCGCAGCCCCAGCTTCAATAACTCCCTCCTGTGTGAAGCTGGGGCTGCGACAATAATAAGAGGAGATGCGTATGCAACCCGCCTGTGTGATGCTCGCCTCTTAAAGCGGCCGTTTCCCGTCCGTTTCCCGTCCGTTTCCCGTCCCGCCCACGTCCCCCTTGGAGCGAGCGACCCCTTGTGCGAGCAGCTAGTGAACCACATCCTGTCGCAGAAGCACGGGCTGCGCATCGCCGTGATTCTCAACGACTTTGGCGACCGCCTGGGCATCGAGAAGGCGCTCGTGCACCCCAGCCAGGGGACAGCAGCTCAAACATCCGCCAACGCTGCTGCTGCTGCTGGTGGTGCTGGCGGTGGTGGTGGTGGTGCAGAGGGCGAGGGGGATGGGGAGGAGCAGCTGAGTGCGTTGGCGGAGGTGCCGGTGGTGGAGGAGTGGGTGGAGGTGGGCAACGGGTGCATCTGCTGCAGCGTCAAGCACTCCTTCGTGCTCGCCCTCGAACAGCTGCTCACCCGCAGAGACAGGTGCGCGTGTGCAATGCTGCTGCCCGGGGGTCTGTTTGGTTGGGTGTGGGTGGTGGGTGGGTGGTGGGGTGTGCGTATGGTGGGTGGGTGGTGGTGGTGGTGGTGATGGTGGTGTTTTGTGTGTGTGTGTGTGTGTGTGTGTGTGTGTGTGTGTGTGTGTGTGTGTGTGTGTGTGTGTGTGTGATGGGTGGTGAGTGGGTGGAAGCTATGGGAGTTGTGAGACGTCTGAGAAGATGAGGCACAGGGAAGGGAAGGATCGGGCTCTGGATGTCATGCCATTCTGGATCGCTGTGTGCATCTGATGCGTCCGATTGGGAGCAGCGGCGGCTCCGCTGCAAGTCGCCGATGCACTTGCCTCACGGGTGCCCTGTCATCGCCCGCACCGCACCGCACCTTGCCATTCCCTTTTTGGCTCCAATGCATGCACCACAATGCACAGCGCACAGCAGTGCAGCACAGCGCACAGCAGTGCAGCACAGCGCATCCAGCAGCAAGTGTGTGTTTTTCTCAGATCAGGGCACACGGGTCACGGGTGCACATTGCAGCGCAGTACGGCACATGATGAATGAGCACAACCCAGCCCACCAGTGCCCGCCGCCTCCCTCCCTCGCCATCTCGCACTCTGTGTGTGCCAGCAACTTCCACGCACGCAGCCTTACCCACCTGCACCCCAGACCAGAGCTCTCACACCCCCCCTGCCACCTGCCACCCTGCTGCCTGCCTGCCCATCTGCCTGTCGGCCTGGTTGTTGGTGTGCCCTATCGTCCTCACACACCTACCTCCTCCGCGCCCCATCCTCTTTGCACATGGATCCACATCTCATTAGTTTAAGTCTGACACAAGCCGTGAGACTGCACGCCGTGCCGTGCCATGCTATGCTGGTGCATGCACGGTGCACACTCTTACTGGCGAGTGGATGAAGAGACGTGGTTATGACACAGTCCCATTGGGGGCGTGTCAGCGATAGCTGCAGCAGCAGCTGTTGCTGCTGCTGCAGCAATGCGCATTAACAGTGGCGCCATGCCACAACCACCACTCCTTGTGCTGGGGGAAAGGCTGGGTGGAGAATGTGAGGCATGGGTGCACTTGGCTAGGCTCGGCAGTTAGGCATGGCAGTGAGGTATGTCAGTCAGAGGAGGCGCAAGGGATGTGCTCGAGGGGTCATGGTGCTGGTTTGGCGTGGATGTGGTGGTATGCAGCGCGGTTGAGATGGGTGAAGGAAGATGTGATGCGGTGCTGGTCTGGGCATGGCCTTGCTGCTGCCGCTGATGCCTCTCTGTAAAGTATTTTTGACAACCAAAAAAAAAACCACTTTGTAGATTGATGATTTGAGTATCGACTGACTACTGGGGCATGCCATGCCATGCCATGCCATGCCATGCCATGCCATGCCATGCCATGCCGTGCTCTGCCACAACATGGGAGAGTGATGATGATGAAAGAGAGGCACGGGGCATGGTACATGGCTGTTGGCCATGGCCATGCCATGTGTGCCCATGAGGCACAGAGCCGCCGTGCGCATGCATGCGCGCATTCACATGTGCATGCAGCATGCACGGCACGGCATGGGCCTGCCAGTGGCTGATGAAAGGCGAAGCTGAACTCTCCCCACCCACCCCCGCACCTGCTGCTGCCTCTGCTTTTCATCCAACAAACCTTATTGTCAGTCCTCTCTAGCACCCTCTGTCTCCACTAATCGTCTGTCGCTCTTTTATCTATCTGCCCTTGAAACGCATGCCCTGTGCACGCGGCCAGCCAGCCTCCCACAGTGTGTATTGTAGTCTCCACTCCACACCACACCACACCACATTGTATCGTATCGTACCACTTCCTCCCTGCCTGCTTCCCCTTCCCATACCCCATATCTCTTCTCGCTCTTCATCTCTCATGCCCTAGCTGGCTGCTGCAGTATCTGGGTGCCTCTTTGCCTCTCAAAAGCACTACACCCAAAGAGGCAAAGATGCCTTCTCTCCTTGCACGTGTCTCTACTAACCAAATTGCTTGAATCGGTACAAAGAGCAATTGTTCCTTGTCACACATGCCTCCATCCTTACCAGCCTGCCTGGATCCTTCTTTGCTGCAATTGCCATACTTGTCCATGCAAGCTAATAGCTTGTTTGTATGTTTGTTTGTTTGTTTGTTTGTTTTGTTTCACGTAGCATCATCACGCCACGTGTCATGTTGCCATCCGTCCCCCTATGTCTGCCTTGCTAATTTGGGACTCTGTTTGTCTTTCTGTATTTCTTTTTGCTTGTGTGGTCTTTTGTGTGTATGTGTGTGTGCGTGTGCATGCTCACTCGCGTGTATGTTTGCTTCTGTGCATGCATTCATTCATGCATGTATGTATGTGTGTGTGGAGGGCGGGCGTGGTTGGCATAGGGCGTTTCTTTGGAGCATCCGGGCACCTTGCGTGAATCGCATGTGGCAAGGAAATGGGCTGGAGATTGGGCCGTATGTGCATGTAAAGTGCGCCACCATGACCGCGTGCATGCATCCATGGCATGCGGGCGGTCATGCCTGCATGTGGCCATGGCATGTGTGCATGGTACATCGCAGGTTTGACTACGTGCTATTGGAGACCACGGGGTTGGCGGATCCAGCGCCCATAATCGCCATGCTCTGGATGGACGATGCACTAGAAGCCTCCATCCGCCTCGACGCTCTTATCACTGTCTCGAGCTCTCCCTCTCCCTCGCCCTCTCCCTCTCCCTCTCCCTCTCCCCTCGCTCTCGCTCTCCCTCTTCCTCTCCCTCTCCCTCTCCCTCTCCCTCGCTCACACTCCTCCCATGCCCTCGCATGCCCTCCCCTGCCCTCCCATTTCGTCCCTGGCCTCTCTCGTTCGCTGCCCTCTCATGCCCTCGCTCCCCTCATCCCGCGCATATCCTCTCCTTGTGTCTGCTTCTCCCCCTCCAACATCCCATCTTGCTGCTTCCTGCTGTCACTGCCCATTCACCGCCCTTCATGTTTTACTGCCCTTCATGTTTTACTGCCCTTCATGTTTTACTGCCCTTCATGTTTTACTGCCCTTCATGTTTTACTGCCCTTCATGTTTTACTGCCCTTCATGTTTTACTGCCCTTCATGTTTTACTGCCCTTCATGTTTTACTGCCCTTCATGTTTTACTGCCCTTCATGTTTTACTGCCCTTCATGTTTTACTGCCCTTCCCCTCCCTCACCCCACGCCTTGTCATCCCCACGTCTTCCCCTCCCTCCATGTCTTGTGCAACCCTCCCTCCATGTCTTGTGCAACCCTCCCTCCATGTCTTGTGCAACCCTCCCTCCATGTCTTGTGCAACCCTCCCTCCATGTCTTGTGCAACCCTCCCTCCATGTCTTGTGCAACCCTCCCTCCATGTCTTGTGCAACCCTCCCTCCATGTCTTGTGCAACCCTCCCTCCATGTCTTGTGCAACCCTCCCTCCATGTCTTGTGCAACCCTCCCTCCATGTCTTGTGCAACCCTCCCTCCATGTCTTGTGCAACCCTCCCTCCATGTCTTGTGCAACCCTCCCTCCGCCCTGTCTCTGTTGCCACCTCCATCCATCCTCTCCCGCGCACTCACACTGCTCTCACTCCCTCCGTCCATGCTGTCCTGTCCATGCGCTGTGGGAGACACAGTCTGTGAGACTGTGTCTGATTTCTGAGACGTCTCAAAAGTCCTCTGTGGGAGATACATACAGTCTGTGCCTGATTCACTCGGCTTCCATCAGTGCTTCACGCCCATCCCCTCGCCACCACCACTGCTGAATATCATACCATATGCTTTTGAGTCACGTTATAGCCATGCCCCACCACTGCTACACATTGCCCCATCAGCCCACCCTATCCGGTATTTATTGCCATCTTACCCTATCCCTCTCCCATTCTGCATCCGTTTCTTCCCCTGCTGGGCCCCCCACCACAACCCACCACGCAACACCACATCCCATCCCGCTGGGCCCATCGGCTTCTCTCATCACCACTCTGCACCCCTCTGCGCGCCCCTGTATCCCCCCAGCTAGTGGATGCGCGCAACTTCCAGCGCTGCCTGTCCTCCCCCGCCCACAATCACTCCAGCGACCTGCCTGCAGCCCAATCGCACCCGGCTGGCTCACAGACACGGGAAGGGGAGAGGGAGGGGGAGCAAGCGGGGGATGTGGGCGAGGAGGCGGGGCTGGGTGCGGAGCGGCAGTCAGTGGGGGCGCATGGGGCGGAGGAGAGGGCGGGGGAGCAGGGGGTGGAGGATGTTCTGCTGCAGCAAATCGCGTACGCTGTGAGTGGGTGTGCTGTAATTAGGGGGCCGTGAGTGGACGGGCCGCGAGTGGATGGGCTGTGAGTGTGCCTCTCTGCCTCTGCGTTTTCCGACACCGGAATTCCCTCCAATGCCCCCCATTCCCTGCAACCCCCTCCCATTCCCTGCAACCCCCTCCCATTCCCTGCAACCCCCTCCCATTCCCTGCAACCCCCTCCCATTCCCTGCAACCCCCTCCCCTTCCCTTCAACCCCCTCCCCTTCCCTTCTTCTCCCTCCCCCCTGCATCTCACCTCCCGCTATGTTTCCCCCTGTCTCCGCACCACATCCTCCCTCCCCCGGCTCTTCTCCCCCGTCTGTGCTGCATGCATGGCAAGGCAGGACGTGGTGATAGTGAACAAGCTCGACCTGCTGCCACCACATGATCATGATGCTCCCACACACCCTGAGGCGAGCCCGCATGATGCACCACGCACGGAGGGAGACGCGGGGAGGGAGGCAGCAGGGAGGGAGGCAGTGGCAAGGGAGGTGGTGGGGGCAGTGCGGGGCATCAATGCGGGGGCGGAGGTGGTGACGGCAGTGCGCTCGCAGGTGGACGTGCGTGCACTGCTCAACCGCGGCCTCTACAGCGCTCAGGTGCTCCTCATGGCTCTTGAGCGGCTGTGGGACGGATTTGTGAGATTGCATGTGCGGGGGAGTCTGCATGCGGACATGTGGTTGTATGAATGAGATACAGACAGCACAGCCAGGTCGTGTGTTGTGATTGGCGCCATGGACTGGGCTGGGCCAATGTTGCCGTTTCACATGCCCAGAATCTCAGAGACGCAAGGCGATCTTTGAGGCGCCACGAAAGGCAACAAAAAAAGGTCAAAAGTGAGTCGTTTCGTTAGCAACAACTTTCGAAAGGCGTTCCAACACTTGCAGCAATGCTTTTGCAGACTAGAAGCATGGAGTGGAGTGGAGTGGAGTGGAGTGGAGTGGAGTGGAGTGGAGTGGAACCACAGTGCCATTTCACATGGCCAGGGCCGTTGCTCTGGCGTCTCGGATGTGTGTGTTAGCGCACCAGGCACCCGTGCGTGGCCTTGATTTCTCTGCTCGCTGCTGCTTCCACTCTGTCCGAGGCCCCGATTGAATGTGTTGTAATATATCTCCTAACCCTCCCACCCTCCCAACCGCGACCATGTCTTCCCCTTCCCGCCTTCTCTCCCCAACCCCGTTTCCTTTCACACATTAATCCTCCCTCATTCTCCCACCTCCCTCCCTCCCCATCTGCGTGCCTTTTGCCAATCGCTGCCTGTAAATTGCTGCATGGTATGTGTTGCGCGTGTAACATGTGTGGCATGGGCAACAAATGCACTCCTGTGTGCTGCTGCCGCACATGGCACGCAGAGAGGCCACGACATCCTCCATGCAATGAAGCAGCACATACCCACAACACCAGCACCAGCAGCGCCACCAGCAGAAGCATCCCCAGGGGCACACGTACCACAGCAGCCCCACAGTCACGAGCACACGGCCCCGGCCGTGCCTCGCACGCACGCCTCCATCTCCACTTTCTCCTTCACCTGCTCGGGCGCTGTCGCCCTTCAAAAGGTGTGTGTGTGTGTGCGCTCCTCCACGCTGGTTCCCGTGACGCATGTGCGCGTGCACGCATGCAAATGCCACCACTCTGCTTCAGCCTTTCCTTCACCTGCTCGGGGCTGTCCACCTGCACGAGGTGCTTTATGCTCTGCGGCTGCTTCCTGTAATCCATGCAAATGCTGCCACTCACTGTTTTTCAGAAGCCACTGCGTTTCAGAAGCCACTGCGTTTCAGAAGCGACTGCGTTCTAGAAGCCACTGCGTTTCAGAAGCCACTGCGTTCTAGAAGCCACTGCGTTTCAGGACATCATGAACCGCTGCCCTCCACTTATATTTTGATGTCCTAAAATCCGAGGTGAATCTTGGATTCAAAGCCGGAAACTGCTCCGTTTCGCTGTTGTTACACTGAGATGTAACTCAACTGCCGCCGACTTAAACCCCTGCTTCCTCACCGATTTGCATCCCGCTCCTGCATCTCTCTGCCCCCCCTGCATCCCCCTCTTTCTCCTCCATCTCTATCCTCCTCCTGCATCGCTCCCCTCCGCCCCTGTCCGTGTCTGCTGCGGTGTGTGGCAGGTGGATGAGTGGTTAGGCACAGTGCTGTGGGAGGGGGCGTCACAGTACGGAGACATCTACCGTATGAAGGGCGCCATGCACGTCCAAGGGAGCCCTCTGGTGCACGTCTTCCAGGTACCCACCATCTGTGCACGTCTTCCAGGTACCACCTGTGCATCTGTGAATCTATGAGTCTGGGCGCAGTGCTGTGGGAGGGGGCGTCCCAATAGCCAGTGCTATGGGGGGGAATCTACCGCACGAAGGGCGTCATGCATGTGAGGGGATTTGTGAATCTGTGCACGTCTTTCCGGTACCATCTGTGAATTGGACTTGTGAATTTCTGTGCCGCGCCTCATACGGCTGCCTGCGGCCAAATCCCACGACCTATGGCTACATGATGAATTCCACACCCCATCACCACATGACCGCATGATCTCATCCCTTTATCACCATGTGACCGCATGGTCTAATCACCCCATCACCCCATCACTCCATCATCCCATCATCCCATCACACCACGAACCCATCTCCTCATCACCCCATCGCCCCATGACCCCATGACTGCATGCGAGGGCAGGCAGTGAGGGAGCTGTATGAGGTGCTGCCAGCGCTGCCATGGCCGGCCGGGGAGGAGCGCCTCAACCGAGTCCTCGTCGTTGGTACGTGCACACTTACTGCTGTGCTGCGTGCGCTCTTTTTAAGCCATGTGCACTCCCCGCTGTGTGCACTCCAAGTTATGTTTCGAGCACTTGGGGGGCTGCTTGTTAAAGCCAGGGTCTCATTTAAGCTAAGGAGCCATCGACTGCAAAGCACTTGAAGCTAGGTAACCAAGTTAGTGCTGGCGAAGTTGTCTCTGGTTGGGTTGGAAACTCAGCTTGCGTCACTGCCCCAAAAGCAATTGCACAACACTTTTGGGTACTCCAGACTTTCGATGAGTTGGGGGCATTTTAGGTTTGGCTCCGAACCAAGTTTCCAAGCCTAGATGGTTCGGTTGCCCCCAGCGACTTACTTTCGCTTCGCACCCCTCGCTTCACCCCACTTCGAACCTTACACCTCGCGAACCAATCAAAGCCACACTTTCACCAACAATTGCAAAGCACATGTAGTACGTGAGACCCTGGCTTTAAAACCGAAATATAAAATAGTGAAGGCCGTCCCACCTTGAAATCGCTGCGATGAGTTCGGCTGATATAACACTGTTCCAAACAAAATGGTTAGGCAGGTTGAAGTAATCTGATTGGCTCACACCAATCTGAAAAAAATTGGCCCCCGCCAAAACGAATTTCTAGGTTCATATAAGCCGTCGCATACGTGCGTGCTGCATCCGCACGACCGTTCCCTGGCGATGCTTTTCCGTCGCCAGGCCCAACTCCAATTTCAAGCTGGTCCTGGGTTCATCACCCACTTCCTCTAGTCACTAGTTTATTCACATAGCAGAGTGAGAACTAATCATTCCAGCTTTCTGCCTAATATTGAGTAGCTTAGGACCTCGACAATTTCCGACTAGGCGCGTAGTTATAAACTTCGCGCTTCTGCGTAATGCACACTTGTATTAGCGCATTGTGTTTCCAAGCCTCGCGCAATCATCGCGTTGCGTTTCCTGGTCGCCTTCCTCTCTCGCGCATCGCCTATCACTCTCCTGTCGCCTTCGCGCTCTCTTTCCGTCACCTTCGCGCTCTCTCTCCTGTCGCCTTCGCGCTCTCTTTCCGTCGCCTTCGCGCTCTCTCTCCCGTCGCCTTCGACCTCTCTCTCCCGTCGCCTTCGCGCTCTCTCACCCGTCGCCTCCGCGCTCTCTCTCCCGTCGCCTTCGCGCTCTCTCACCCGTCGCCTCCGCGCTCTCTCTCCCGTCGCCTTCGCGCTCTCTCACCCGTCGCCTCCGCGCTCTCTCGACCCGTCCACTTCATCTCCTATCGCTCACGTCCTCCCCTCCCATCAGCATCGCGCTCACGTTCCCCCCTTCCCTGGCCATCGCGCTCACGTTCCCCCCTCCCCTGGCCATCGCGCTCACTTTCCCCCCTCCCCTGGCCATCGCGTTCACGTTCCCCCCTCCCCTGGCCATCGCGCTCACGTTCCCCCGTCGACTCGCTATCTCTCCCGTCGCCTCCTCTCCCCTCCCATTCCGTCGTTCGCTTCCTTTCCCCTCCCATCCCGTCGTTCGCTTCCTCTCCCCTCCCATCCCGTCGTTCGCCTCCTCTCCCCTCCCATCCCGTCGTTCGCCTCCTCTCCCCTCCCATCCCGTCGTTCGCCTCCTCTCCCCTCCCATCCCGTCGTTCGCTTCCTTTCCCCTCCCATCCCGTCGTTCGCTTCCTTTCCCCTCCCATCCCGTCGTTCGCCTCCTTTCCTCTCCCATCCCGTCGTTCGCCTCCTCTCCCCTCCCATCCCGTCGTTCGCTTCCTTTCCCCTCCCATCCCGTCGTTCGCCTCCTCTCCCCTCCCATCCCGTCGTTCGCTTCCTCTCCCCTCCCATCCCGTCGTTCGCCTCCTCTCCCCTCCCATCCCGTCGTTCGCCTCCTCTCCCCTCCCATCCCGTCGTTCGCCTCCTCTCCCCTCCCATCCCGTTGTTCGCCTCCTCTCCCCTCCCATCTTTTTCTCGCAGCTCTTCCATTCGTCGGCCAACATTCACTCCCAGATCGTGCATATGTGTGTGCGCTGAGTTGTGCCTGTGTGTGATTGTTGTGAGATTTGGTGAAGTTACTGACTGCTCGAGTGAGTACAGGCCTTGCAACCTTGCGCCAAATTCGCACATGTATGTGTGTGAGTTTCGCCGCCAATCAGAATTGTAAACAGGTTCCAAATGTTCCCCGTTCAGATCGAGACTTGTCTGGAGTGAAAAAATAAAAACGTACAGCACTTCCAACTTTCCGAGACTCGCCAAAAAAACTTCTGTTTTCAAGTGGACCCAACTAGAAGGGGGGGGTCACTATTTTAGCTGCTGGCTTTAATCAGGTTGGTGGCAGGCATTTTTGTGCGTGCTTTCGGTCCAGTTTCGCCAGCCTTTGCACTTGGGATTGTTTTTTTGTCAACTTTTGCTTTCAGGGAAGTCCCTCAACACATCAGCGCTGGAACAAGGCTTCAAGGCATGTATTGTTCTATGATTTTTTTGCTACTGCAATCACCTAGGAAGTAATAGAAAATGTTGAAAACGCTCGTGTACGGATTTGCGTGCCTGTAAAATGAAGGTGTCTTACTGGTTGACATTTTTCTTAGTATGTGAATCATTCCTGGAAAGATAATGGATGCATGTTTTATGCATTAGGGTAGGTGTGTCATCTCATCCCGTTGCGATTACCAGTATGTAAGGTAGTATGTGAAAAGAAGGGTGTATGGCAACTTATCAATCCCGAAATCATCATGGTCCAGACTCAAAAGCGCCGTACGGTACTATCGGAGTACGATTTTGTCCTTATCGTCCCTGAGCTGACCAAACCGCCCACGCAACTCACACTGCCGAGCTAGCATTCGCCTTATTCCGCGGGAAACCAGCATTTATGCGACCGCCCACAACGAACCCGTAATAATGGCCCGTGTCGTAGGCCGTACGTCCCGCGTACCGCACTGTCGCAACCCGCCGCCATTGCAATCGTGACATTAGGTTTTACCTGTCGTAGAGTCAGATTAGATTGATTTCTGTTGCGCCTCGTGGTTTACTCTGATTGGTCGCCGTCTGGCCGGCCGTCCTGGCGCCGGCAGCCATGGAGCGCGGCCCGCGGCCGGCGCGGCCCATTCTGTCGCGGGAGCCGTCGCGCCGGCAGCAGCGCAGCCGCAAGGTGCCCGAGCCGCTGCGGCGCGCGATCGCGGAGTGCACGCAGCCGCATGCGGCGCCGCTGGAAACGGCGGCTTGCCACCCCGTCCGCACGCTAGAGGTGAGGAGCACGGGCGAAGGAGGTGGGCGGGGAGGTGGGGAGGAGGGGAGGGGGGGGAGGAGGGGAGGGGGGAGGGGAGGGGGAAGGGGAGGGGGGGGAGGAGGGGAGGGGGGAGGGGGGGAAGCGCGGGGTAGTTAGGGGGGAAGAAGGGTTGAAGAGGGTGTGGGTGGGAGTGAAAGCGGGGGAATATTGGGTAGGGCGAGTGGAGGGTGGGGAGATGGGTGGATGCGTGGTTGCCGATCGACCTCATGAAAGGTGCAGGACGGGCCCGGGAGCACATGGCCCGCTCGGCGCGCTGCGCCCATGTGGAGCGGGCCATGGCGCGCGGAATGCCGCGCGGCTGTGCGCGGAGAGCTGCAGGCGAGTGAGGGTGCGCGGAGAGGCGGGGGAAGAGGGTGAGGCCGCGGGTGAGTCTCCGCGGCAACAGGAGGTTGCCGCATCGACGGGCGGCGAACGTGCTTGGCGCATGGCGGAGGCTGCGCGACGGGGTGGGTTTCCGCGAGCTGGCGTGCGCGTTGGCGCATGGCGGAGGTTGACATGTGCGCGGAGACTTCGCGGGGCGAGTCGGCATGTGAGCTCGGCGCGCATGGCGCAAAGAAAGTTATGCTGAGGCCCCTCTTGGGTTGGGTGGACAATTGAGGGGAAGGCGCAATCCGCGTCTCCTCATGCACCTCTTTGCCCCCGCGCCATCCCCACCAACTCCGCCACCATACATGTCCATGCAATCCCTTCCCCTCTCAACCCACCCTCCCTCCCTCCCTCCCTCCCTCCCTCCCTCCCTCCCTCCCTCTTTCCCTCCGTTTGCTGCCGTCACTTTACTCCTTCGCACTCTCTCGTCCTCCCATTCCCCTTATTATCCATCCCCTTGTTTACTCCTCCCTCGCTTCATTTCCCTTTCCACCGCCCCCTTCCCGCTTCGCCCCCCCCCTCCTCTTTTTGCCCGCTTTTCGCAATACTCCCGCCGTTCTCCCTTCCCCCCCTCCCCTCCTCCTCCCCCGCATCACCCGCATTGCTTCTCTCCCTCCCTTCCCCACAGTTACCCTTCTTTCTTCCATAAACTTCCTCTTCCTCTCCCTCCCACCACTGTCTCTGCCCCTTGCCCTCTGCCCTCCCCCCTCCGCCCTCCGCGTTCCTCCCTCCGCTTGTCTCCCCCTGCGTCCTGCGCTCTGCCACCCCCGCGCTTCCCCTTCCCCCCCCCTCTCTCTCCCCCCCAGGACTACCTGGGCGATGCGGCAACGGTGGACATGGCGTACAATGCACTGCTGGACCATGCCATGGTCGAGAAGGGGCGCAGGTGGGGCAACCGTAGTCGCAGGGGGCACAACGAAGGGGGCAGGGGGCAGGGGGCAAAGGGCAGGGGCCATGGGGAAAGGGGAAAAGGGAAAGGGGGAATGGGGAGTGGCAGGCAGGCATGGCCTGCTGGTGGTGGGACGGTGGGGCTGGCCTGGCTGGAGCCGCTGGCATGGCATCCGTACCTTACCATACTGCACTATACCATACCATACCATACCATACCATACCATACCATACCATACCATACCATACCATACCATGCCATGTCATGCCATGGCTCACCACACCACACAGCTCCGCAGTCCTCTTGCTGCTTTCCAGCCCGTCTCAGCAGCTGCAATGCACGGCTGCCTGCTGCAACACAAGAGCTTGCTCCCCTGCCTGCCAGGGCCCCTCCTTTCTCTCCCCCTCTCCCCACACTGCTTTCTGTTCCCTGTGCCATGCGCTCCCTGCTGCTGCCCCAATCTACTGCACCAGCGGTTGTGCCATCTCAACCAAAGCCTGCTTCCTGTGCGCCCATGCTGCCCCGTGCTGCCCCGTGTGCTGTGCCATGTGTCTGTGCTGCCCTGTCCTGCCCCGTGCATGCAGTCCCCATGTGATCATGAAGGTCGTGGCTCTGCTCAAGAAGTATCTCTTCCGGTACCACTCTCCTCTCCTCACCCACCCTTCCTCATCGTCTCGCCTTCTCCTATTCTCGCCTTCTCGTTATCATCATCTCATACTCTCCTTTTCCTCGCTCGCGTGCACGCGGGCAACAGCTACATGCTCTTTTCGTCCGCGCATCTGTGTGTCTTCCCCTACCCTGCTTCCTCCCTCCTTTCTCCCCAACCTTACAAACCCCAGCCTCCGTTTCTCCCATCTTTACTTCCTGCTAACCACCCTTCCCCACCCGCCACTCCCCCATATGCCCCTCGCTGCCACACCCCCCTCATGCCCTCCCTTGCCCGACCTCATGCCCCCTCCCTCCACTCTGCAACTACGGCCCGGCGATTTCAAGAGTGGAGCACATAGACGCCTCCCATGCGGTCATCATAGCAGATTTTCGAATCGAATCAAAAGAACAGCATACCCCCTCCCCCCTCCTCCCTCCCCCCTCCTACCTCCCCTTTCCTCCCTCCCCCTTTCCCCCTCCTCCCTCCCCCCTCCTCCCTCCCCCTTCCCCCCTCTTCCCTCCCCCGCCCTGCAGCTACGGCCCGGCAATATCCACATTGGAGCACATAGACGGCTTCTGTGCGGACGTGATAGCGGAGCTTAAGGCAGCGCAGGCCGCCCGCCACCGCCTCGGCAACGCCGCCGCCGCTGCCGCCGGCGCCGACGGCCCCACCGCCGAGTCCGGCCCCGCGCTCATCAAGTCGCTCCTCTACGTCCGCGCCGTAGTCGCCCGGAACCTTCCCGCGCACCTCATGCGATCGGCGCGCGCGGCCGACGGGGGGATGACAACAGGAGGAGCCGGGGGAGGGGGGCTGGGGGTGGGGGGAGCGGCGGGGGTGGGAGGGGGGGCGAGGACCCCGTCGCGGGTGGCGCCGCTGGCGGTGGATGGGGGGGGCGCGGTGGGCGTGGGAGGGGGCGCGAGCGCGGCGCTGAAGCGGGCGAGTGCGGCGGATAGGGAGGCGGCGCAGGCGACGGCGATGGCGATGGCGAGGTTGATCCCGGGGCAGGAGGGGGGTGTGGCGGCGGGGCAGTACGCGCCCATGGACATGCTGAGGGTGCGGTGGATCAGCCGCAGTAGGGGGTGGGCGCCCTCAGCGATTGCCAGCTATGTGTGCGTGAGAGGGGGGCAGGGGGCGGGGAGCGGGGAGGAGATGGGGAGGAGCGAGGGGAGGAGAGAGGGGCGGAGAGGCGAGGGGTGGATGGGGGAGAAGAGTGGTTATGTGGGTGGGGGGAGGAATGGGTGGAGGGGGGGCGAGTGTATGTCATTTGAGAATTCTCAAAAAACATACGTTGAGAATTCTCAAATAACAGGCATGCAGGAGATTTGGCCCTTGCACTGCACTGCACAGCACCTCAGCATCCTTGCCCCATCCCCACGTTCCTTGCTCTATCCTTGCTTGCTTGCTTTCTTCCCCACCACTGCCCCTCTGCCATCCACCCATCACATTGCCTCATTCAACACTCCTCATGCCGCTCGTCTTAATTGCCGCCGTCACGCCCACCCACTCCCCTTCCCCACGCATCCAAACTCCACCCACCCACCACCCGCCATCCCCCTCCCGGCATCAGCGCGTACCCCCCTCCGCGCGCCCCATCCGACCTACCCCACCTGGAGCCCCTCCGCACAGTAGCAGACAGGAGCGCTGCCGCAGTGCTGCTGGGGGTGCACGTGGTGCAGCTGGAGGCAGAGGGCAGCCCCGACCTGCTGCACTTCGACACCGTCACCGGCACCGTGGACCCCGTGCTCGTGCGCAACCACATCCGCCATATCACCATCACCAAGCGCCTCAAGGCCGACCCCACGTGAGTGTGCCGTGTGGATGGGTTCATGCAAGGTGCACTGGACCCCCCGTGAGTGCGGAGTGTGGCTGGGTGGGCCCATGGACGTGAGTGTCAGCTTTGAGCATTCTCAAGCGCAACCACATCCGCCATATCACCATCACCAAGCGCCTTAAAGCCGACCCCACGTGAGTGTGCCGTGTGGATGGGTGGACCCTTTCACGTGAGTATCAGGTTTGAGCATTCTCAAAAGCAGCCACATTCACCACATCCGCCACATCACCATCCTCAAGCCCGACCCCACGTGAGTGTGGCGTGTGGATGGGTCCATTCATGTGAGGTGCACTGGTGCACTGCTGCACTGGCCGCTGCATGAGGTTCCTGTGGGGTCATGCGAGGTGTATGGTGGGCACCCCGTGAGTGTGGCTGGTTTTATGTGAGTGTGGGCTTTGCGGTGTGGGTTATTCTGTGCTCTGAGGCACTGAGACTTGAGCGTGAGCTGCTGTTGGTGGGACTGTCCGTCTGATGGGTGGTGGGGCAACATGCTTGGGGGGAAGGATGTGATTAGCTTATGTGTCGACCCTAAACCTTGGCTTTTTTGAGGTGAATCGACTTTTGACTTGACTCAAACGGTGGAGCAACAAGCAGAGCGCCTATCTTGTTACTCCGTGTTTGCCCGATGCCAGGCTCGCCTCACCCGTGTAAGCTGTGTGCTCTCTGTGCGTGCGCTGGCAGGGGTGCGGCAGGAGACGGGTTACAGAGCTCCATGAAGCGCCGCCGCCCGCTCTTCCAATACCGCTACTACAGGTGAGCCATGGATGCCTGTGAGCCGCTGTTTGATTTGAAGAGTGGATGACCATTGGTAGAAGTATGGATGCACTGCCAATGATGGATCGCATGTGCCGCCTTATCCAATCATTTCTATGCTCCATCCTTGCTCTGATACCTCTCCGTTCCCCCCGTTCCACACTACTCTCCCATCCCACTTCTGCCCCCTCCCGCCATACCCTCAACCCTCCTCTCATCTCGCTTCCCCTGCTTCTGCCCTTTCCTCCTTTTGCTATTCACGTTCTTCCACCATCCCGTTCCCCTCCCATGCAGCGAGCATCAGTGGCTGAGCGATGGCAAGGTGGGATTGTGGCTTCTTAGTCGACTCAAAAGTCAACGCCTTCGCTCGTCCACACCCTCCCCCGCCCCCCACCCTCCGCCCTCCCCTTCCCCTTCCCTCTCCACCTCCCCCTCCCCCTCCCCTCTTCACCCTCTTCCCCACCCTTTTCTTTCCCAACCCCCTTGACACAACCCCTCCTTCCCCCCACCCAGCGAGCAGCAGCCGCGGAGGCTGAGCGAGGGCGAGATGGAGGAGGTGATGGCAGCCGTGTGCTCCATGGCTTCCCAGCTTATTCACTCTCCTCCACCCTCCCCCTTCCCCCTCCCCTTCCCCTCCCCCTCCCCCTCCTCTTCCCCCTCTCCCCATTCCTGCACCTAACCCCCCATCCCCTCCTCCCCCCCACCCAGCGAGCAGCAGCCGCTGAGGCTGAGCGAGGGAGAGATGGAGGAGGTGATGGCAGCCGTGTGCTCCGTGGCGGCCACCGCAGCAGCGGGGGGCTGTAGAGTGAACTCAAAAATCAACTCATTCGCTCGCCCCAGTCTCACCCTCCCCCTCCCCCTACGAGTCCCAACCCTCCTCCCCCTTCCTCTGCCCTTCAACCCTCCCCTCCCCCCTCTAAACCCACAGCGAGCAGCAGCCGCTGAGGCTGAGCGAGGGAGAGATGGAGGAGGTGATGGCAGCCGTGTGCTCCGTGGCGGCCACCGCAGCAGCGGGGGGCGCAGGGGGCGCGGGCGGGCACGGGTCCGCGCGCCTCTCGTCCCCCGCGCACCACATGGTGCCACAGGTGGACCCTGCTGACGTGGCCGCGTCCGTGCTCATCAAGATGCTCATTGACATGTGAGCAGAGGGGGGAGAGAGGGGGAGAGTGGGAGAGGGGGAGAGTGGGAGAGGGGGAGAGGGGGAGAAGGGGCGAGGGAGCGGGAGAGGTGGAGAGGGGGAGAGAGAGGGTGAGCGGGGGAGGGGACGGTGGGGGTGGGCGTGGGATGGCACGGCCTGTCTGTCGGTTTCTCTAACCCCACCTGCCTCGTGGAGAGGCCTGCCTGCCGCAATGCCATCCCTACCCTTTTACGTTTTACCCAGATGCACCTTTGGGAATCCTCGAACGTGACTCGTATAACGGTGTATCCCCGTGGGCGCACCCGCCTGCCGAGAGGCGTGCTGCACCCATCTGCGCCTCTGCCGTTCTTTTTTGCCATATGCGGTCTGCGTGTCTTCGCAAGCAATGTAACTCGCCATCTCTCGGGATTCACTTCACCCGCTGCCGTGTCTTCCCCCATGCACGCCCAATTTCTCAACCCCCCCACCCCCACCCCCCACCCTCCCCCCTCGCCCCCCTCACCCCCTCGCCCCTCTCACCCCCTGCACGCCCCCTGCAGGTACCTTGTGGACCCTCGCTCTGCAGCGCCCCTCGCGCTCTCCATGATGCATGTGAGTGCCCTGCCATCCATGATGCATGTGAGTGCCCTGCCACCCATAATTTCTGAGAAATCTGTAACTTCTGCACCCCTTTCTTTCCGTTTCCGAGGCCCTTCTTGCCCTACACCCAATTCCCTACCCTCCCACTCCACCCTTCCATCACCCTGTCCCCTCCCCCCCCCCCACCCCTCGCTCCCCTCCCCCCAGACGCTCCTCTCGTCCAACCAGCCGACAGTGCGAGTGCGAGCATTCAACCAAATGCTGTTTCTGGGCGTGCACGCGCACCTGCTGCACCCCCTGCCCGTGGAGGATGCCGCCAATAAAATCAGCTGGTTTTTGAGAACTCTCATCCAAACTCAGTCCACTCAATTCCTCATCCCTCTTCCTCCAACCTTCCATCACCCCTTCCCCTCCCCTCCCACCCACCCTCCCCCCCCCCCGTCCTTCTCCAGACACTCCTTTCCTCCAACAAACCGACCGTCCGCGTGCGGGCATTCGACCTGATGCTGAACCTGGGAGTGCACGCGCACCTGCTGCACCCGCTGCCAGTGGAGGACGAGGCGGGGCAGCCCTACTCCTCCGACGCCGATGCCGCCGAGGCGGAGCGCGGGGCCGTGCGCAGGGCGGCAGCCGTGACCATGTTTGAGGAGTGGCTGCTGGGGCTGCTCTGCGACATGGCGCTCTACCTCGTGCAGGTGGGTCCTCGTGCAGGCGGGTGGCTGGGCCTATCGCTCTAACGCGTGCAGCAGGTAGGCTCTCGGACAAAAACTGTTGTACTGGACCTTCACCTCCGGGCGGAAGCGGCAGTGACCATGTTTGAGGAGTGGCTGCTCTGCTCTGTGACATGGCTCTCTACCTCGTGCAGGTGGGTCCTCGTGCATTGTAGAGCACCAGTGAGCTTCAATGGTCAAAGGTTGGTTCAAGCAAGTAGGAAAGCGGTATTGTAAATCAGCACCAACGCATAGCCAATAGTTTTGAAAATTGGTGCTCTTCGCGTTCAGAAGAATAACCGAAACAAAACACAAAAACCTGTTTCGGGCGAAGGGCGCGAAACTCGCCTCGTGCAGGTGGGTGGGTGGTCCGGTCTGTTTCGTGCCGATCTTTCGCATCGATTCATTCATGTGTGAGTTCCCTTGTGCTGCTGCGTCCGGTTTGAGGGATGTGCGTACACTCAATGCAATCCTCACCTTGTGCAAGGGAGGGGTGGCCAAGATAGAACCCCCATCTCCTCCCACTGTATCACTTTGCTGCTCACAAACTTCCCTCACTTTCTCCTGGCCCTCTCACTCTGTTGCTCTCTCCCCCAAACCCCGCTCCTCACCCCCCCTCTTCCGGCACCTTGCTTGCACGCTCGCTCCCATGCAGGTGGAGGAGAGCGATGAGAGTGTGTGGGCAGCGGCGCTCAGCTGTCTGCTCTACCTCACGTGCGACCGCGGCAGGACGGTTTTCCATCGCCTCGCGCTGCTGGATGTCCGGGTCAGTGCCACCTCCCCCCTTCCTTCCCGCTCCCCCTCTCCTTCCCTCTCCCGCTCCGCTCCCCCTCCCCTTCCTCCCGCCCTCCCGCTCCCTCCACCTCTCCCCCCCTGTCCCTCTCCTCCTCATCCTCCCGCTGCTCATCATCATCCTTCTGCGTTGTTCGAGTAACTTGTAAGAATTCTCAGTATTTGGTTTGTGCTGTGATCCTCCTCCTCCCATCCTCCTCCTCCCACTACACTCCACTCCCCTCCCCTTGCTCCTATCACACACAAGCACCTTCTGCTGTACAACTTTCCCCACTCCCTTCCAAGCTGTTCATATCCTTCCATCCACGCCCTCTCCCCATGCCTTTCTCCCCCTCCCTACTTTTCGCCCTCCCTCCCTCCCTCTCTCCTCCCGCCCTCCCTCCCTCCCCCACAGGTCCTAGCATCGCTATTGGAGATCAGCATAGTGCACGGGTGGGCGCAGGCAGTGCACACGCACCTAGTGCGCATGCTCGCCTGCCTGCTCTACGCAGCACCGCACCACATCGCGCAGCACCCACCAGGGCGCGCGTTTGAGGCAGCGAGGGACGGGCTGCGGCTGGACGTGAAGCAGCTGGAGCGCGTGGGGGGCATCTCCTTCATCTGCTGCCACGTGAGTCACCCCCCCGTTCCACCTTCTCTGCAACTCTCTCTCCTCTTGCCCTCCGTCCTTTCCTCTTGCCCTCCGTCCTTTCCTCTTGCCCTCCGTCCTTTCCCGTCCCTCCGCCGTTTTCCCCTCGCTCCGCCCCAAGCTCCCCCCACCCCACCCCACCCCACCCCACCACCTCATTCCCACCTCCCCCATCCTCTCTCCTTACACCACTCCGTATCTCCCATCCTCACCCCATCGCTTCTCCCCCACCTTCACCCCACCAACAACCCTTCCCTCCTCCACTCCTTCTCGGCCTCACAGTACGCAGCATCACAGGAGGTGGAGGCGAGGCGCAACCTGTTTGCAGTGGTGATGGACTATGTGGCACTGCTGTGCCGCCTGCACCCGCACCCACACCACCCCGACCACCCTCCGCCCTCCGTACGTGTGTGTGCTGTTCGGCCTCTGTGTGCATCTGCATGCCAGCACCAGCACCAGCACCAGCCTGTTGGTGGGAGATCCTTTCACCATGGCATTTGTCACAGCATTCATCCACGGCGCACGGTCCACAGTGCACCTCTGCCCCTCCTCTGCATCCACGCATTCACCCACTCGGCCTTCCTGCTCGGCCTCTCACCAGCGTTCTGCATCGCTGCTGCTCTCACCGCCTGCCTTGCATGCAGCCGCTGCCCCCTCATCGGTGTTTGCATGCCATGCACCCCAACATCCGTCCCTGCCACTACTCCACGTCCTCCACTCGCCATTCCCTCATACCCTCACATAGACCCTTCCTCCCGCATCCCTCCTCACCCGCCCTTCCTCCCTTCCTCCCGCCCTCCCTCCCTCCCTTTTTCCCATTCAACCCTCCCCTTTCGCCCTCCCCATCCTCATCCCCCCTCCCCCCTCGCCCTCCCTCTTTCCCCCCCCTCTCCTCCTCCCTCCCCTTCCGCCCTCCCTCTCCCCTCCCCTCTCCCCCTCTCCCCCCTCTACCTCCCCCCCTCCCCCGTTCCTTGTTCCCTGTTCACCCCCCACCCCCAGGAGGCGGAGCTAGCAGCGGTGGTGGCGGCGCTGGTGGCAGCGGGGGCGCCAGAGGCGCTGGTGGTGGCGCTCAAGGCGCCCTCGCCCCCGGCAGGCCCCATCGGCGCTGCTCTCGCGCGCACCATCGCTGCCCCCCTCCCCCCGGACACCTCCGCTGCCGGCTTTTCCCTGCAGGTGCGTGCACGGGGGAAGGGGGGGGTACAGGGTTGCACAGGGGGGCATACGGGGGGGTGGAGGTGGGGGGGGGGATGGGATGCGCAACGGGAGGTGCAAGGGGGGTTGCAAAGGCTGTGTGCGAGGGGGGGACAAGAGGTGTGCAAGGGCGTTACACGAGGGGCCTCCATCCCTGCCTTGCCTTGCCTCCCGCGTCTCATGTCCCTTGTGCTTCTATTCCACCACATCTTGCCTCCTTCCGCCTTCTCACCCTGCTATCCACCTATTCACCTCCCCCCTCCTCCTCATCCGCCCGCCTTTTCTGTCCCCCCATGTAACGCCTGCACCCCTCCTACTGCACCCCCACCACCCCCACCCGCCTATTAGGCCCTGCACCTAGAGGCTGACAGGCATGTTGTACGATCGCAGATATCACCACACCTGCTGCGCCTGCTTCTGCTTGTGACTCTGCAATAGTTCCCCTAACATGATACAACCACTCCCTATCCACCCCGGCCCCCCCACACGACCCCCACCCCCCACCAGGCCCTGCACTTAGTGACAGACACACTGGAGGGTCTCATCTCAGCTCACCTGCGCCTGCTTCTGTCATTCTTGAAAATCCCTTAATGCGATACAAGCACACCCTACCTACCCACCCCACCCCCCCCCCCCGCCCCCATCAGGCCCTGCACCTAGTGACAGACACATTGGACGATCTGATCTCAGCGCACCTGCGCCTGCGCCCCGAGTTCACTGCCATGCTGCAATGCACCCTCGCCAGCGACGGCCCTCCTCCCGACCCTGCCCCTTCCTCCACCGCGGGGGCCAACGGTGGCGCTGGTGGTGGTGCGGACGAGGCGGAGGTGGGGAAAGAGCGGCGCGCGTGGGGCACGCTGCGGGCGCTGCTGCACTCGCAGCGGGCCGTGGACCGGCGCAACGGCCTCACATGGCTGCTGCACCTGCTGCTGCAGCAACTGCCCAACCTCGCTCCCTACCAGCAGCCCCTGCTCGCGGACCCACAGGACGGCCAGCAGCAGCAGCAGAGGGGGCGGGCCGGGCAGCTTATGGTTTTATACCGGCAATTGGCCCAGCTGGAGCAAGGGGAGGCGGGGGAGGAGGGGGGAGGCGGGGGCGGCATGGGGATGGGCATGGGGGGAGGGGCAGGCGGTGGGGGGGGAGGGGGAGGGCGGAGGGCAGGCGTGTCAGGTGCGGTGCAGCTGATGCTAGAACTAGTACGATCAGACAACACGGCAGTGAGGCGGGGGTTCGTGACAGTGCTAGAGCAGCTGCTGCTGCTGCACGCTGCGGAAACCGAGCAGGAGTCGAGAGAAAGCCGCGGCGCGGCACACGCCGCTGCAGCTGCAGCAGCAGAAGCTCCCGAGGGGCCCATGGGGATGGAGGAGCGGCGGGCAGCGGACGAAGCCGCGGCAGCAGCATCAGCAGTGCAGCACCAAGGCGCACAGGACTTACTAGCCGTAATGAGCAGTGCACTGTGGCAAGTAATGTCCTGTAACGACAGCGACCGAGTGAACATCCTCCAGATGTGCTCCGTCATGCTCTGGCAGCTCTGCGTACCCCGCTTCCTCCCCACCGCGCAAGTCGTTGAACCGGGCAGCCCGGTCCCCAGCCCTGGAGGTAGCAGCTGGCTGGTGAACCCGCGCGTGGCAGCAGTAGCGGGAGGGGAAGGCGGCGGTGCAATGAGCCCGCCGTATGCGGCCGAAGAGAGTGAGTCCATGGCTCGGCTCTTCCTGCTGCGCAGGGCAGCAGCGGCGAGGGAGCTGCTAGCAGCGCTGCCGACGGCGCTGCTGTACTGGCCGCTCATGCAGCTGGCGCCGAGCGCCGGGGACCCCATAGCGCTGGCGACGGCGGTGGGGAGTCACGGGATTGTGGGTGCGGGGGGGGCGGTGGACGTGCGGGTGGCGCTGCTGCTGCTGCTCATTGGCAAGTGCAGTGATAGCAGTGAGGCGCTGGAGGAGGTTGGAGGGGATGCCTTCTTCCGGTGAGTGCTGCGCTGCTGGGCGCTGCTGGGTGGCGCTGGGCTGTGCTGGGTTGTGCTGGGTTGTGCTGGGCTGCGCTGGGCTGTGCTGGGCTGCGCTGGGCTGCGCTGGGCTGTGCTGGGCTGTGCTGGGCTGTGCTGGGCTGCGCTGGGCTGCGCTGGGCTGCGCTGGGCTGCGCTGGGCTGCGCTGGGCTGTGCTGGACTGTGCTGGGTTGTGCTGGGCTGCGCTGGGCTGCGCTGGGCTGCGCTGGGCTGCGCTGGGCTGCGCTGGGCTGCGCTGGTGAGGAGAAGAGTATTCCGTGCTACCCTGTGCTGCACCTTGTGAATGCAACTTGCAGCAAGCTCTCATCTTGTAGCCAGTTCGTGCATCGCTATTGCCCACTCTCACACACACGCACATCCATGCCCACCCGGGTACGCACCCGTACCGGCACACAGAAGCGCACGCGCAGTTGCGGTCTCTGTCAAGAGTTTCAGTTCCGTGTGCTTGCCCAACCCCATCCAAGCCCCTTGTTTTTCTCCATCTCGCCCTGCCCATGCCGTCAGGTCGCTGCTCGATGATCCCGATGCCCGCATTGCCTATTGGAGCGCTGCCTTCCTTGTCAAGGTGCCTCCCACGCTCTCCCACCCTCTCCCAGTCTCCTCACTCTCTCTTACCTGCTCCCACCCCTTCCCACTCTGCCTCACCCTCTCCCACAATCTCTCACCCTTTCTCAACCCCGCCCACCCTCTCTCACCCCCTCCCACCTGTTCTCACCCCCTCCCACCCTCTCTCACCCTCTCCCACCCTCTCCCCCAACCCACCCTCCTCTCGCCTCACTGTCTGCCCCATGCCATGCTGTCCCAAGGAACCATGTGCATTCCCCTTGCTAAACAGCTTCCAAATTCCCCACTCCTCTGCATCGCTAGTTCTCTCTATCCCCGGTGGTTCTTCTCCCCTACAACGTGTGTCACCGCCACGTCACACCAACCAACCCCACCACTCCCTCTTCCCCCTCTCCTCAGCGCATGATGTCTCAGCAACCTGATGTGTACCGGCGTGCGCTGCACCGCCTTATTTTCACAGCGCAGCAGGTGCGTGCTCATCTTTCGCAGCGCAGCAGGTGCGTGCTCTGAACAAACACCACTTTCGTGCCATGCCTTGACGTGCCAGCAATGAAATCTCCTCTCTCACCCCCGCACGTGGACTCCTTTTGTTTCGCCCAGCAGCATCTCCCTGGTTTTGCACACGCCGTTTGCTCTCTCTTCCTTGCACTGCGTGTTTCCTGCTACCCTAACCCTCTCACTCACTCACCTGTGTCTTCCACCCATCTCTTCCCCCCTCCCCCCTCCCCCCTCCCCCCTCCCCCCTCCCCCCTCCCCCCTCCCCCCTCCCCCCTCCCGGTGGTCCCCTTGCTCAGACGAACAACGAGAAGCTGCTGGAGAATCCATACCTGCAGATGAGAGGCATCTTGCAGGACACGCCAGATGCATTGCACCTCACTTCCTGATGCGCTGCACCTCACCTCCTGCTCGCCTCTTGCACTGTAGCTGCCCCCCTCCATCCTGCATTGCGGCATTACTACTAGCGCTGGCGGTGTTAACATGAGGGGTTGTTCATGCGTGCACTTTCTTATGAACTGATTATAACATCTGAATTGAACTGTTGAGAGCTCTTGCAGCATTGCATGGGAGAAGTGCAGCAAGCTCCTCAGTTAAGTGCGAGCATATGGATCCAGAGGGGGTATTTGCCCGCGGTTCGAACAGATGGCTAGAGTGGCAACTGCTTGCAAAGGTTACCGGTAGTGCACATCATTCAACTAGTTAAAGCAGCGGTATACATTTGGCAGGGGAAAGGCCAAAAGTTTATAAAAGGTACATGGTGGTAACCAGATTACAGGGTCTCTCGACTTCTAACACAGCGACTAGTTCGAACCCAACCCCTCTCACCTGACTCACTCGTCAAAAGTTTATACCTAGCCAAAAGCCTCGCCCAAGCAAGCTTGGCGGCATGAGGGGAGGGGCATCAGGTTCCAGGAGTGTGTCACGGCGTGAAGATGACACCGAGAGTAGAGGATGGCACTGTCTTGTATACCTGGTGCTGATGTTATTGTGTGTACATACTGCTGTGAAAGCTCTTTTTTTTTCTTCATCAATTGCAAACCTAAAGATGCCTTATAGAAAGAGGAAAGGCAGAGGGTACAAGCGGGTAAATGCGTTGTAACATGCTATTGATGTCAAGTTACAACGAGAGCACCAGCGGGTCACTCTTCCAATAGTGTCTCTCCTGTGCTTTCTACTCTGCTACCTCTGCCCACAGCCTCTGCCCTAGCCTGGCAGGTTCGAAACGACCGGACCTGCCTCGCGCACACAGAGTGTGTCAGCTGTTCCAGGCTCGGGTCCGAGCCTGCGAAGGAGGTTCGGCGGCTGCTGGGGAGGGCAGTGGCACGGGCCAATGAGAGGGCGCCCGCTGTCGTCGTGTTGGATCTGGATGTGCTGGGGGTGAGTGGGGGAGCGGAGGAAGGGACTGGTGGCGGCGTGGGATTGGTAGAGTTCACTGCAGACCTGATGGATGAATGGCAGGCGAGGCAGGGGCAGAAAGGAGGGGATGCAGGGGGGAGAAGTAGGTGAAGCAGAGGGGGAAAGGAGGGGAAGGAGGGGGGAAGGAGGGGAAGCAGAGGGGGAAAGGAGGGGAAGCAAGGGAGGAAAGAGGGGAATTGGTGGGGGAAAGGAGGGGAAGCAGGGGGGGAAAGGAGGGGAAGCAGTGGGAGAAAGGAGGGGAAGCAGTGGGAGAAAGGAGGGGAAGCAGTGGGAGAAAGGAGGGGAAGCAGTGGGAGAAAGGAGGGGAAGCAGTGGGAGAAAGGAGGGGAAGCAGTGGGAGAAAGGAGGGGAAGCAGTGGGAGAAAGGAGGGGAAGCAGTGGGAGAAAGGAGGGGAAGCAGTGGGAGAAAGGAGGGGAAGCAGTGGGAGAAAGGAGGGGAAGCAGTGGGAGAAAGGAGGGGAAGCAGTGGGAGAAAGGAGGGGAAGCAGTGGGAGAAAGGAGGGGAAGCAGTGGGAGAAAGGAGGGAAGCAGCAGTGGGAGAATTGGGGAAGCAATGGAGGAAAGGAGGGGAATTGGTGGGGAAAACGAGGGGATGCAGGGGGAAAGGAGGGGATGCAGGGGGGAAAAGGAGGGGAAGCAGAGGGGGAAAGGAGGGGAAGCAGTGGGAGAAAGGAGGGGAAGCAGTGGGAGAAAGGAGGGGAAGCAGTGGGAGAAAGGAGGGGAAGCAGTGGGAGAAAGGAGGGGAAGCAGTGGGAGAAAGGAGGGGAAGCAGTGGGAGAAAGGAGGGGAAGCAGTGGGAGAAAGGAGGGGAAGCAGTGGGAGAAAGGAGGGGAAGCAGTGGGAGAAAGGAGGGGAAGCAGTGGGAGAATTGGGGGAAGCAATGGAGGAAAGGAGGGGAATTGGTGGGGAAAACGAGGGGATGCAGGGGGAAAGGAGGGGATGCAGGGGGGAAAAGGAGGGGATGCAAGGGGGAAAAGGAGGGGAAGCAGAGGGGAAAAGAGGGGAAGCAGAGGGGGAAAGGGGGAAAAGGAGGGGAGGCAGATGGCATGATGAGGGGGAAGGGAGGGCTAGTAGGGGTGAAACTAGTGGCATGATGAGGGGGAAGGGAGGGCTAGTAGGGGTGAAACTCGTGGCATGATGAGGGGGAAGGGAGGGCTAGTAGGGGTGAAACTCGTGGCATGATGATGGGGAAGGGAGGGCTAGTAGGGGAGAAACAGATGGCATGATGATGGGGAAATGAGGAGATAGGAGAAGGAGGTAGAGGAGGAGGAGGATATAGGACCAGGGGGGGTGGGGAGAGGGGGGGGGAGGGGGAAGGAAGATGGGAGAGGGACTGCCCGATTTCCAACGAATGGGCGACGTGTCTCGCGGGAGGAAGGAAGGTGGGGAGTCGGTTGACTCACCGAAGGCAACGCGACGGGGCAGGAAGGTGGGGAGTCGGTTGACTCACCGAAGGCAACGCGACGGGGCAGGAAGGTGGGGAGTCGGTTGACTCACCGAATGCCGTATGGCTCTGGAGGGGGAAGTGGAGGTTGGAGGGGTGCAGAAGACGCAATGCCGACGCCAGGCCCCTGTGAAAGGCGTCGCGCGGCTGATGGGGCGTGAAGGGAGGCAGGAGATGGACATGGGGGTGGGGGAGCACGAGGGAGTGAGCATGAGGCAGGGAGCACGAGGGAGTGAGTTTGAAGCATGCTGGGTAATGCGGAAGGGGGAATGCGGAAGGGGGAATGCGGAAGGGGGAATGCGGAGCGGAAGGGGGAATGCGGAAGGCTGAATGCGGAAGGGGGAATGCGGAAGGGAGAATGCGGAAGGGGGAATGCGGAAGGGAGAATGCGAAAGGGGGAATGCGGCTGGGGGATTGCGGAATCGGGGATGCGGCAGGGGGAATGCGGATGGCGGAATGCGGAAGGCGGAATGGGGAAGGGGGAATATGGACGGGGGACTGTGGAAGGGGGAATGCGGAAGGGGGAATGCGGCTCGGGGATTGCGGAATCGGGGATGCGGCAGGGGGGATGCGGAACGGGGGTTGCGGCAGGTGGAACGCTCCGTGATGGAATGCGGAGGGGGGGATGTGGCAAGGGAATGTCGAAGGGGGCTTGCGGTCGGGGGAATGCAGCTGGTATGCGACGGCGCGAATTCGTCAGGGCGCACGAAACAACGCGAGCGCCTGCTCTTATACACGAGATAGCCCCTGGGCGAAAGCGAGGCGTCTCTGGCACGCTGTGCTGACGCGTGCGCTATGCAGATGTAGTGTCGCTTTGCTGCGGGCGTTTTGCTGGCGTGCGCTGATCTGCTGAGGGCGCAATGCTGACGCGCGCTGTGCTGGCTCGCGCGGAATGCAGGCGCGCGTGCGATGCTTGAGGGGAGAGCGCGACAGTTGCTGCACAAGCTGCAGCTTCTGCGCGCTTTTGCTGGTCGTTTCGCAGGCGAGGCTTGTAATGCGGCTCCCTAAGTACTCACCCGCGACTTCGTGCGTGGTCGCGCTGCTGGCTTCGCACCTTCCAGCGCGCGCCTTGGCTATTTCTACCTGGTCTTTTAGGTTTTAGTCGCCTATTCTTCGTAGTGCGTGAGGGTGGCAGGTGAGGTGGGTGACGGGAGCATTGAACCATTTCGTGACTCGCAACCAACCCAACCCTGGTTCCCCCACAACAGAAGTGCCCTAGGTCTTCGCCAAAAACTATCGCCCCCCTCGTTTTTTTTTCGTTGAGGCGAAATCGCGTTGCACACTGTAGAGAAGCAGCAGTACTGTCAAATGTATACCGCTGCTTTAATGCAACTCCACAGGGGTCGAAACAAGGGCGGTGTGCGAATCCGCATGCACATGAGGTGCTTCTGGTCGCTTTAGGACCAAACCACACAGCTTGGGCCCCCTCAGCCAGTGTCATACCCGGGGCTTCATTTGAGCATGGCAGGGAGTTTAGGTATCACAGATTAATTATTTCATTCCGCAACCTTTTGTACAACTCATAAGAAGCCTTTTGTACAACTCATAAAAAGCCGGGAGGGCATGGGAGTGGGAAACTAGGGTTCCGGGCTCACAAAGGTGGATCCCATCAGCAAAAAACAACACACATCCTTCTCAAGTAGCACTGCTGTCAGGCCCCCAATGTGCCATATCTATCATGGTTAGCACAAGCTGGTGCGCTGGACTGTTTAATCAGTCAGGGTGCAGTACTGACTGGTCAACCAGGCAGGGAAGCTGGAATACTGTCTCTGCAGTAGTGACTGGTCTTCAAGCGTTGGTAACTCCCGAAGTCCACCTCCCGCACCACTTGCTCAGATTTATCCATCTTGGATCCATCCTCCTATGCACGCGCCGCGCCTCTCGGCTTCAGTATGGTCTATATCCGATCAGCATCCGCTCGTTGCTGCTACCTTTTTGGTAATACGACTTGTACCACTGTACGAACTTTTGTAACCCCTCGTCTAGATCTGTAGAAGGACTGTAACCGAGCTCGTTCTCGGCGCGTGTGACATTCGCGTGTGTAAACAGCACCTCGCCGCTGCTGGGCATGGGAACCACATCCCTAATCGCGCGCGTCTCAAGATGCTTCTCCAGGAGCTTGACGAAATCCGTCACTTTAACCGGCTGAGTGTTCCCGAGGTTGAACACTCGGAACTGCGCGCGGCGCTTCTTCCCTTGCGTGCCCACGCCCACGCTGGGCGTGGCAGTATCTAGGGCGGCAACGCACCCCTTCACCACATCGTCAATGAACGTGAAATCGCGCGCCAGCTCTTGCCCGTTGGGCCCGCGGAAGATCTTAATCGGCTTCCCTTCCGCGATGTTCCTCGTGAAGGAAAAGTACGCCATGTCGGGCCGTCCCCAGGGTCCGTACACGGTGAAGAAGCGCAGCGCGGTGACGGAGAGACCGTAGATGTGGTTGTACGTGTGCCCAAGCATCTCATCCGCTTTCTTCGTCGCCGCGTATAAGCTCGCCGGGCGATCCGTGCGGTCGCTTTCCGAAAAGGGGACTTTTTTATTGAGACCGTAGACGCTGCTTGACGACGCGTACACGATGGCGGGCTGATGATCCGCCTTTCGCACGGCTTCGAGCAGATTCACGAAGCCCAAGACATTGCTGTGGACGAACGCCAGCGGGTTGTGCACGGCGTATCGCACGCCAGCTTGCGCGGCGAGGTGGAGCACGTGCGTGAACCGTACGATTTCGAAGAGCTTGGAGACGAGCTGCTGGTCGTTGATGTCGCCTTCGACGACGAAGACTCCGTTGGAGAGCAACCGCTCCTCTCTGGCGCGTTTCAGCGGCACGGGATAGTAGTCGTTGAAGTTATCCAGACCGATTACGCCGTCGCCTCGTTCTTTAAGAGCCAGCGACGTGTGCGAACCAACGAATCCAGCGGCGCCCGTTACAAGCACCACCATGCCGCCCTCGCGAGGGACGGCGGAGAGTCGGATGCGGTCCTCCCATTCGTCCCCGCCCCATGTGGCGCCTTGCGTGCCTGTAGCGAGAGTTGTTGCTGGGACTGATGCGCGCGATGCTCCTCGAGTAGACATCCCGACGACCATGACTATTAGAAAGACGGTGCAGCAGAGGCACTGAACGAAGGTCATGCTGCGAGCCATTTGCTGCATGAATGAGCTGCTTCTAAGCTTCTCTAAGTCTTCTAGACTCGACGGGAACTTGGTCGACGAGCTGTTCGTGGGAAGCCATTTTGCGGCCATGGCGATCGTCAACTGCGGAGCAACGCGTCTTCAGTTCCACGTACCCTTCTTGCCCTGGGCGTTATGCTAATTTTATGGTTGCTGGGAAGCGATATAATGACGTGTGGAATTTGGGTGAAATCACGAGAGGGAGAGAGATTTGTGGAATGGGTTTGCTTGGCTTGGCTCACACAGCGTAGGCAGTCTTGGTTTTGTTCTCAAACTCCTCATGCCGTGACTGCCTGTTGGTTGACAAGGAAAGGGAGGACCACGTTCCTTCCCGAGCCTCGTGGGCAGGTGCGACTGACGGTGAACTCCCCAAGCACCTCACTTGAAGTGTGCGCTTCGGCGGCGCTTCCGCTCCGTCAAACCTAAGCTTCGTCCGATAGCTAGCTTGTGTATGTCCATCCCAAGGCAGTCACGCGGTTTGCGTGCACTGTGTGATTTTGTTGGGAGGCGTGAAAATGGAGAGGAGAGCGCACGGGAGGATTCAGTACGATGTACTTGAACTAAAAAGCACATAGCACGTTACAGTACGGTACAATGACTGGCTGACGGCCCTCCTTGATTGACCTGGGCAGCTTCACCTACAGACAAGCACCAGAACCGGCGGCTCGCCGCAGGCACCGAACCGAACATGGTCTGTTTGGGGGTCTCGTCTGGTGGCGGCCAAACAGCCATTGGCTGGAATAAATAATCCCCATTTTCTTCCAAACACTTGATGGTCGCAGTTGGAGAATCAAATGTCGAAAGACGCCCTGTGAGTCCTGACCTGAGGTACCCACCTCCCCGTCCCGCAAGCTTTCACTGTACTGCACATTTTAAGCACCCTTTCCGAAGCTTATGAGGTTGCCTTGCATTGCTTCTGAACGTTTGAAGTTCTTGTGGAGAGCGAGGTACCTCAACTCTAATGTAATACGTATTGATGGGTGTAGTTTTTTTTGGGGGTGACTTTCAAATGAAGCGAACAATACGACAGCCTGTGCCAGCGAGTGAATTCGTAGGCTCACCGCCATCCGCAGTCACCACCTAGGAACACCTGCAAACCTGAATCTCTCTAATTTGACGCGGAACGACGCACTGTTACAAACAGCATATAAAGTACAACATGCTAATGCTAACACTCAAAACTATAATGGGGATGTATGGAGAAGCAGTGCTCATCCACTTTATTCCAAAAACGCAATGCCTCAAATTTGTCACAGAAAGACGCGTGTACAAGGCGGTAAGATCTTCACACCACACAATATGCTGTCTTGGAAACCAGTCTTATCTAACCTGACTGCTCTGCCGTAAATTGCTTGATCCGTTCTCGGATGCGGTCAAGCAGAATAAACCGCGCCTTCTGGCGTTGCTTAAAGCGGTACCACCCGTCACGCATGATCCTTGCACCATCCACTTCCGGGCACGGGTAGTACCAAAGCCGAATGGACAGCCCACACGAATGCAGCACAGACATGCGCATGGGTCTCGTCTTCGCCTCACTGCCGGTTTCCCTCTGGCAGCCACACTCGCCTGTGTCAGCAAGCTGGGGGGTGAAGTCTGGATAGAAGAGCTGGAGTAGACCCAGGCGGTGCGTGAGCTGCAGGAAGGTGTATTCGTCGCCTGTGCCACAGATGCGGTTGATGGCTTCTAGCTTGTTCCTCCTGCCGAATCCCATCCCTGCAGCAGGAGGATTAGGAGAGAGCAGGAGATGATTCATTGTTCTTGTAAACCAGGTGTTGCGCCAAAGAGTTGGCGTTGCATGAAGGAGATCACGGAAGGCTACACAAACACAAGTTGTGAAAACATTGCAATGGAAAAATGCAAGAAACGGATGGCTCAAGTACAGGTAACAGGAGATCTGGGCAACGCCAAGTACAGTCGCATACACACACAATATGAGTACCACATATGAGTGGGAAAACGAAAGAGTAGCACATCGGGATGGCACACAAGGAAGGAGAAGCACGCGCAGGTCACGACACCTGGTTGGTAGCGGTGAGGAGAGTCATTGCGAAAGCCAATCATGCCCTCCTGCAGCGTGGGCGCGTGGGGAAAGAGGTCGCTGTACAGCGTGCTGCCGTTGATCCACTCGGGACTCTGTGGGCCGTCGATCTTCACCACTGGGATCTGCCAGGGTGGGTGGGGGGGATGGGGGAAGGGGCGCAGTGCTTGTTGGATAGAGGGACTTTCATGGACGACAAGCTCTTGCTGCCACGCACAGCAGTGGCAGGGGGCACGCAGGAGATGAAGCATGGCAGACAGATACTGCGAAAGAAAGCGCTGCAGCGACGACATCGTGGACAGCGAGCAGTGTGGGCTCATCTCATGCGCGCGTCTCATGCACGCGTCCACCCCATTATAGTCCACACGCACATTGAAGGCAGTCTTGCCGTGGGCCTCATGGCGGTCAGCCGCAGCAGCGAGGTACGCCCACACCTCGCGAGTGAGGAAGTGGTTGCCGTCCAGTGGCAGGATCCACCGCGCCCCGTTCGCTATGCCGTGATTCATCATCACAAGCCGCGCCTCGTTCATCGCTGCACAGGCATGATCACAGGGGGTCAAGGCCGTGACGCATGGGGAGCGTGGGGTGGGGCATGGGGTGTGGGGCATGAGGTGTGAGCAAACCACGCCACAACAGCATGTGCACACACCCCTTGTGCACATTCCCCATGTGCACCCCCCCCCATGCGCAACTCCCCCCCATCCTCCCCATGTGCATCCGCACCCCGCCCCTCCATGTGCACCCCACCCCCCAATGTGCGGCCCCCCATGTGCGGCCCCCCATGTGCGCCCCCCCATGCGCGCCCGTCCTCCCCAGGGACAGCGCACCTGTGATGGCCGTGGACCAGAGGTTCTCGGGCATGGCGGCGAGCTCTGTGTAGTTCACGGGGATCCTGACGATGTCCTGCCGCCGCACCCCGGGCACGGGCGGAGAGTAGGAGAGGCGGGAGGGGAGGATGCGAAAGCAGGGAGGAGGAGAGGGGAAAGGGATGGAGGAGAGAGGGGAGGGGAAAGGGAGGAGGAGAGGAGGAGGAGGAGGAGGAGGAGGAGGAGGAGGAGGAGGAGGAGGAGGAGGAGGAGGAGGAGGAGGAGGAGGAGGAGGAGGAGAGAGAGGGAGGTTTTAAGCAAGGCAGATACTTACCGCCACCTGAAGGCTTACAAGCCAGGGGAGGAGAGAGCCAAGGGGATTGTGCCAGGCGCTCACCACATGCTCCCCATGGCTGTATGCGTTCGTGTGCGAGAGCATTGAGCAGTGAGCACAGCCCGAAAGAGTCTAACCCGCCCGCATTCCATTCCGCATGCGCCTCGCACGCGAGGGGCGAGCAACACCACATGCCCCGCGCGCACCTCCTCGGAGTACCCGTGGGCGAGAATGGCGGCCGTGATTCGCGCCTCCTCCGTGTCGTTCAGCATCTTGTTCATCACCCATATGCGCCGCAGATCCGGCAGATCCTTTGGCTCGTGCTGTAACGCGTATAAAGTGTTCAGGTACAGCTGCCCGTCGCACTGCAGTGGCGGCATGTCGTTGCCGATCATGCGGTAGAGGAAGAAGCGCGGGGCGGATCCGCGCGCGGAGGGGGATGCGGCCTGGTCGCTGGCGAGCGGAAGGTGCGCGGAAGCGGCGGAGGCGGGCGGGGAGAGAGGCGCAGGGGAGGACCCGCGGAGGAGGCATAGCGCGGCGAGGGCGAGCGCCACAGCGGCCAGGGCGGAGATGGCGACGCGCGCTGCGCGGGATCTGAGGGCGTGGTGAGGGCGCGGGGGAGAGAGTGCTGGTGTCTTGGAGAATAGCGCGAGGGAGGCGGAGGGGAGAGGGGGGAGGTCGGCGCAGACGGACGAGATGGCTCGCGGGCGACCGGAAGACATGGCGGGATTGGCGGCCAAGGCGGGCGGGGGAAGAGAGAGGGAAAGGGGGGTTGCGTCGCTGTTCGTCCTTCCCTTCCTTCTCCTGAAGGTTATCCTGAAAGTACTATCGCGGGACGCAAGAGGGCACAGGCGAGGCACACGTGGACATGCGGTGTGCCTCGATATGAGGCACGCGCCGCTACGTGAGCGCGTTGACGAAGCGCTATTTCGTAATAGTCCGCTCTGTGAGTTCAGGATCTTGCCAATGTGCCTGTAGGCAATGAATCTTTGAACCTACCCCAGGCCTTCAATTCTAGGTACACGACATTTCGTCTCTTTTGTTCAGATTCAGCCTGCGTAATTAACGGCGCGAAAGGGCCGCCGTTGGAAAGTTCCGCCGCAGCGCCCTCGTGTGCGATACGTTGCGTCGCTAGTGGAGTGAGGAGAATGCGTGCGTTCTCAAGTGGTGCAAGGCACGCTCGCTCGCCACCACTCCAACCCTTTCCCTCCAAAGCTCCCTCGTAATGTTTTCCCAAGAAAAATTACGACACCCAGCCCCTAGTTACAGCAATTCTTGATTTATACACTTGCCCTATCTATCACCTTAAAAAAAACTACACCACATCTCCTTTTGGTTCATGAGGTAACCCCTTAGCATTTTCAGGTTGTATCCATAAGACACCCTGAGTTGTAGAGGTATAAAATTGTTATCAAACATGATTAAGATGCTCAAATTTTAGTTCAACCTCAAGCACATGGGCGATTTTTTTATGCGTTTCTGATTCAGACCTTGCACACATGATAAAGAGTCTGCGACAATAATGAAATCGATATCGACCAGCCTTTGGTATCATATGTGACATAGGTCTTTGCTATCATATCGGCCATGAGTGTTTGCCCTTGGGTGCGCTTTGACGATAAAATTAGGGGGTTTAAAATTAACTGGGATTAAATATATGCATTCGAATCCACGACGTACAACACTATTTATGGGCTCGACCGTTCTTTGTCCGTTACTTGTTACCAACGGTGTTCGC